GAGTGCAAGAAAATTCTCCATAGCAAAACACCAGTTGTTGTAATTTTCACTACCGCGTAGTTTTTCAAACTTGAATTCTTTTCCCATTTTTATAACGAAAAAATTAATTTTCACAAAAAATATAATCACTCGACTATTGTTCGATGTTCAAAAATACATTCGGTTTTATATTTCACAGTGTCAACTAAAAAAATAAACTCTAACTAACGCTTATGTTACCATGTGAGAAATGTGAAATAAAACGAACCGTCGTGTATGATAGTCAGAAAAGATCTGAATTTAATATTGATAATTGTACTTATATATTCTTATTGGACATTCATCTTTTTAACAAAATCGACATAATTTTATTTCTTGGGCGAAAATGTGCTACAGCCTTCAGATGAAAGCCATATAAAGGCTAAACATAACATTAATGCGAAGCGTAAAAGGGGGCATTCGAAAATCCAGTTGTCACTGTGGGATTCTTTGGCACGAAATGAAGTAACGTGCAAGAAATACAGCAACAAGGCGCCATGGGATTTGAACATGATGGTTTTTTTTTCCTTTTTATACGCCTGGAACTAGTTTGTCTGTTGATGCTTTTCTTTTTGTATAAAAAAAAATACTTTTCAACGCGTCATACAGCGCGAGAAAAAAAATAAACCTCACATAAAACGCCCAGACAAAAAGCAATGCGTTTGTTATAATAAGTGGCGTCGATTCAATAATCACAACAACCAGTTGAATGACGTGTATGAGTTGGTAGTTGCATATTTGTTGAAGAGTGCAAAACATGAATTATATTAATTGCCATGGTCTTTCCTCTTTTCCACAACAAATTTCGCAATTGTATGGCGTATATATATATTTGAAAAGGTTCCTGTGTTTGTTTCTCTAAGCATAGACATCATACCTTAATTTTCCTTTTAATCTTCTGTCCACAAAATGTTGATTCGTTTTTTCTTTATCTCGATGATCGACGAGAGAAAAAAAATAATTGTGTTTGCGTTTAACTGACGTCGATGTTCTGGGTTCAGTTACAATCCGACGGTCATGTCCGGATATCGCCCGAATACGGCTGCCAACAAAAAAAATTTGCAACTTACTCCGTATGGTGCCGAAAAATAGCAATTTGTACTGCTTATGACTATGTGTCTCTTCCGAGTATCACTTACAGTCGGCTTTCAACGCGACTCGATTTAAGAAGCGCCATCTCTTTCACGCCAGGTTCTCATATATTTTTTTCTTGCAAATATTTTTTTCTTGCAAAATTGTATAAATTGAATAAGTTTTGCAATAATAATAACGAAAATAATTAATAGAATTTATAATAAATAAAAAAAATTGAAAAAAACACACAAATATTTTATATTATATGATTCACCAGAATAGCTTCACTTCGTGTTGTTTACGTTGTTTCTTTTGACAGATATCAATGTTTGACAAATACATATTTTCTCCACGTAACCATCTCTACATGGTCTACAAGGCAAAGCTACATATCATATAATATAAAATATTTGTGTGTTTTTTTTAATTTTTTTTATTTATTATAAATTCTATTAATTATTTTCGTTATTATTATTGCAAAACTTATTCAATTTATACAATTTTGCAATTTTATTTGCAAGAAAAAAATATATTAGAACCTGGCGTGAAAGAGATGGCGCTTCTTAAATCGAGTCGCGTTCAAATACATTGTCAATATACAACGCAAGTGATACTCGGTCTCTTCTGCAAAAATTATTTAACGCATTAGCGTTATATTTTTAAATGTTATTTAAAATTATTATTTTAAATATTTTGGGAATTTTTTGAATTATAAGTGGGGATCTGCAAATGTAACCTTCTGTTCGGTCCGTCTACGGGGCTTGTATAACGTATGGAAATATTACAATCTTACAACACATAGTCATAACAGTACGAAACTTTAAGAAAAATAAAAAGGATCTTCAGTGCTAAAATGATACTAAATGAGAGGGTATATGAAGAGTACATAATTATTACACCCATACTCGGACGATATTCGGACACGACCGTCGGATTGTTACTGAATCGATGTACTGGGTGCTCTGTGCTCCGACGTCGGTTTATTGTCTGTGTTGAACTTGCTTTTCCATTCGAACGTATTTTGTTCAATTTGGATTGCGTAGGTATACCCATCGCGTTTACTCTCATTCTCAATGTACATCGCACTCGCTGTTATCAATATGTACGTTTTGCCCCACAAAATAATGCGCATATGCAAGCCAAAAGAACTTCCAACTGAAGAACGACTCTCTCACTTGTCGTTCGAATGTTGCTGGCGTTTGCTATTTTTGCAGTGTTTCCAGTTTCTTGTTGCTCTATCAAATTAAGCCGTTTTAACCAAACGTTTCAGTTAACTTTCGTTCCTCGAAATAAACAGTAGACAAACCAATTTTTCCAATTTTTGTTTTCTGTTTTCTGATGGCAAACATCGATTTTGAATCGACAGACGCCAAACTAGTTTATTTTATGTGCTTAGAACTAGACGACATTTTTTAGATGCTATTTGCAAATAGTGTTTTTATTTTTATTAATTGAACGGATGATTTCTCTGGTGAATTTTATTCGAAAAAGTGCTTGTTTGTCACAAATAATTTTTTATTCGTGTATTACCGTGAGTGCAACCAGTGTTTGTATATCAATTGTGTTTATTGTTAAATTGGCATAAAATACGTTTGAAAATGTGTTCAAAGAGTTTGAAATGAGGGGTCATTTGAATGAATATTCAAAAGAACTTTTTGCAGTGAAGATATGTTTGATTTTGGAGAAATCAGCTGATTTGTATTCGATTGACGCCGGACCGAAGAACAATTGTCGAAATACTATATTTTTTTCTTCATTTCCGCATTGCAATGAGATAAGGAAACGCGTTTTTGGCACGTTTTTTCATAAAAATCACGATTCCTTTGCCAAACACAATCCAGATCGTGTGCGATTGTTTCACATGTTTTCTTATGATTTTCAATCGATGAAATTTCGAGCACATTTATGGACGTAATGACGACATTGCACACATTTTCGCTATGGTTTCCACACAAAAAAATGTGCACTCATCGATGTGGAAACAATGTGGAAAAACAATTTAATATAATAACTTTTTTAAATCGCCACAACATGCACAACAAAAACCTCATAACATTGACATTGACAGTGGATGAACGACTTCAATGGGATATTGGAGTTAGTTTATTACAATGAAATCAATATATCAGTGCCAATCGCTGTACAACGCAATCCACAAGTGTCTCATTTTCACCGCACTCTTTCTGGCTCTCTTCGCGGTTATAAACCCGTTTTGTGCACGTAAATTATTTATAGCTTTGGCGTTCCGCGTGCATTGATTCCATACATTTTTATGAAGCACATTTTCCACTTCTTTGTGAGCATATAAAATAGGCCTACACTGACATCGCATCGTTAATTCACAAATTAACATAACATTAATTGTGGTAATTTTCGGTGTACACCGTTTCATTAATCTTCAAATAACGCTTGCCATTTTTTGAACATTAATCCATCAAACAATAATCTAAAGCCCACGTTTTTCCTTGGATAAAAGAAATAATGAAAAGTCTGAAAGTCGTTTGCTATGTGAACCTGAAGACGTCAGTTGATAATGCTTTTATTAAATCCAAATAAAATATGCGAGTCTCTGACGAAGACAACTCATCGTTTTCCATTCATTTCAACCGTGGACCATTTTATTTACTTAAAACGGGCGGTGAAAGGCCAAGCGCCCCAAGGATCTAACTTAACCAATGGAATTTGAACGATGAATGGAAAACTTTTTTGATTGAACATCAACACATAAAGACGATGAAGACGTTTGCAATCCATTCCTTTTTATTTATTTTACGAGCGATGATGACAGAAAAAGCTGCACCAAATGCTGTCAATTCGTTTGCTCTGCTTTGTTAATTCTACAAAAGCCGTTCGCAATATATAAATGTGGAGATTTGCCGAACGAGCTTGAGCTTCACATTGCAAGGTCAAAGCAATTTAATGGACGTAAAGGAATCATAAAAAACTCATCGAGAATTTTATAGAAGAAAAAAAAAATGAAGTTGAAAAGACTCATTACATTATTTAAAGTTAATGAGATTGTCGGCGATACTGCGCCATTCTTCCAGTTAATTTGATTATGAAATTGTAAATGCATTCAAACCATGAGCGTGTAGATACAAATCGCTGCAATTGATATGCTTTTGCATTCACCGTTAATATTTATTGATTTTGGATTGACTTACATTGTATCGTTTCTCTACCGAATGACAATAGATACTTGCCTTGTGGGTTTTTATAATAAATCTCGTCAAGACAGTAAACTAATATTGATAACTCAGTTTGCTAATGCATATTTCTTCAAAAAAAAAAACATTGAAATCTGTTGGCGAAGAAGAAAATGTGTCAATTAGCTCAAGCTCGCTAACATTCAAAATAAAAATAGACGAAACTTCAGAAGAAAGAACTTTTCACACGTGAATTACTTTGAATAATTGATATTGGAACACTCATAATATTGAACTTAAACAAGTTTAAACTGTTATTTTCCTCTTCTACGGGCATTTATCGTTCATTGCTGAGCACAGTGAAAATAATACCACAGTTGGGATACAATAGAATGCATGAAGGCAATGAGCTTGATTTGTTTGAAAAATAAATGCATTATGACTTTGAATCAAATGTTCAAATTCTTGTTCGTGGACAAAAACAACATTTCCGATTCAATTGCATATCGCACAAGTTTCAATCACAAAATCGATTACGAATAATTTTATTTTTAGAACATGACTTTGATAATAACACTGCATTTTGATCAAAAAAAAATCTGGTAAATGGTGCAATATCCCTTTGTGATTCCGAGTCAGATTGAAATTTTAACAATTACGCAAAATTGACGTTATTTTTTCTATTTTTTTATTGATGTTTTATTGTTCATGCTGTAAACGAATGGTTCTCATCATTAGAAATGTCATGACATTTAATTAGAGTCAAATGGGAGTATTTTCAAGAAGAAAAAAATATTTAAAAAAAAGTTATCACAATAAAGTCATAAAACAATCATAATGACACTATGTCGAGATTAGCAAAAAGCGATTATCTGGTATGAACCAGTTTATCGCTCTCACAAAATGAGATAATACCCATTTTATACGGTAAAATAAAAGTTAACATCTGAATTTAGGTGCGAATCGCTCACGAAACGGGAATTCCAGAAAGCGCCGATACGGCGCAATAAACTTTCCACAAATTGATAAAACTTTGATACATACAGAAAATGAAAGTAAATTCATCGGTTTTTCCCATTTCAGTCGGGAATTTGTGCGAATTGAGGCCATCAAAATATTTCTTTCTTCGCAAAAATGATATATTACTATTGCATTTATTTATGATAAGCGATTCGATACGATCATCGCGTACCAAATGAAAGAAACTGCCATATATATAAAGAGTGATAATTAGAAAACCGTTAGACACAAGCCATTGGATTTAATGAGCCGAGGAACGCGTTTCGAATTAGTGTAAATAAAATCACTTTTCACTTCAATCGATTCAACGAATTTCATGAACAATAAAAAAATGAAAGTGAAAATCGCGAGTAAATACTTGCTGCGACGACATCGACTAAACAGAAGCTTGGATTCTTATCCAAGTGTAAGGTAAGACGATTTATATAGCTTTTTTTTTGCATTCTGACATCTTATCGATTTTGAAAATTAAAAAAGAAACAATTCCATTTGGATATATAGTCAAATGAGAAATGTTGTAGACATGTGATCGCATTAAACAAGTTCAATTCACAGTTGAAATGAAAATTTGATTTTTTTTTATAAAATATGATTGATACAGTAAATGTTGTTTTTAATGATAAAATCGGCTTCAACGAAGAATAATTAATAACCTCATCGATCAAAGTTGCCTCTTTGCTGAATTAATGTACCGGTTTTTGCAAAGAATTTTAATATTTCTCTCCTTTACTTTGTACCTCCTTATTCGTATAATGTAACTAGGCTGGCAAAAACGATTCGTTGAAACACAAATTTCGCTTCATTTGTTTGTACTTTTTTTTTTTTTAATAAATGCTATCCAGAAAACAATTTGATTTGACCAAATCGATCCAGTTAAAACCGGTTGCCGGATCATCGCATAAAAATCGTTGAAAAATCTTTTTGTCATTAAATTCATGTTTTTTTTTTTTTTAAATAGCAATATTGCTATCTCATGCAAAGGTTGATGATCAATAATTTAGCAATCTAAATATAAAAGCATATAAAAAAGTAAGCGAACATATTTTGAATTATCCCACCGAATGTATAGTATGATATTGGAAATCTTTTATTGAATTTAATCTAATTTTATGAATAATTTATTCATACGTATTGAATCCACCTTATTAACGCCTTTCTCGTGTTACATATGCTAGAAGTTTTACCCATTATATTCCGATGGAAATCTACAGACGAGAATCAAATGAGCATTGATTTTTCGTATAGAAAAAGAAGATCTGGAAGAAGATTCACTTGCTTACATTAAAGATATTCAGCTATACATATAAACAGAAACTGGTAAAAACGATATTGAATATATCGAAAAATAACTCCGCATTCTCCTTCGAATTTCCATTTAAAATATTCGCAATTTATTGTGGTGATAAAATTTGCCATCGAGGTGGTAAAGGGTTCAAAAATGCCCTCTCATGCAAATATCTGGTTACATGCGTTTTCAACATTATCAACTCTGTCTTCCATAACATGTTTCTTTATTTCTCCCCGAACATCATTGTGATGCTATCATTGGACGTTTGGTTGCCATTGAGTCAATGCTATCAAATTGTCTTCTCTAATACGGTTGGTTTCTTTTGCCAAATTCAACAGCAAAATCCATTGGGAAATTTCCCTTTTCTTTGGAAAATTTCCGAAATGAATCAAAAAATAACTTATAAAAAATTCTTCCACATCTTCTTCGATGAATGAAAACATTTTTGCTCGAATCGAAAAAAAAATGTCAATGAATTCAGTCTGTCGTTGCGCATTTATTAAATTTCATTATCGAAATTTTCACAAGATGATTGACCCAATGGAAACGTGATTTTCGTTCAATTTCTACTTGAGTAATCATCGTTCAGGTGTAAATTGATATGTTGAAAGGTGAATAAAATTCTTCTTTATTTTTGATTAGCTTGAATCAGAAAATTATATTTATTGGTTAACATTGTTTGTGGGCTTCCATTTGCAGTCACAATTTCGAAATAAAATTAGAGCTTATTAATATTGCATGCGTCACGAGAAGATGAATAAATCATTGAGGCAACGGTCTTTATAAATAACAATGAAAACAATATTTTCGAAGATTATGAAACCGAACGAAATATCAAGAGAAATCCTATAATATTTCTTAATTTGAAATCATACACGAAATGTGCAGTTATCACGTGGCTTTCGTTTTCTTCCACACGTGATGAGTGCACACTTCATTTTGATCACATTTAACAGATCAATCTTTTAATTTAAATCAATTGAATACAATGGATTCCGTTTTATTTGCATATCTTTATCGCCAGAGATACACATCCATTCGTTTTAGCAATGCACTCAGATGAATTGCAATCAACCAATTTTGCAATGCGCAATTTTTCATGCGGCCAGAGTGCTTAACATTCATAGCGCAAATCAGAAGAAAAAAAACCTCAATGCTCAATTACGTAATTTCAGTGAGGTTTAAAAATAGCCACAATGCAACGAATTTATTCACTTTTCCACCATGAACAAAAATAAAATTTAAACATTGTGCTTGCTGCAATTGCATAAAATACATTACCTTTTTTAAAAAAAGATAATAAATCATCATTATCTCTCAATCTCTTCTAGAATTTGTTGGCACATTGACTATTTAGTGATTATCACTCATTCCACGAACGAATGCGGACAGTTTTTTTTATCATTTTTAATCAAAAAAAAAAAAAACAAATTGTTTCCATTTATTTATCGGGACGTTTGGGCGATTGTATTCCAAGAACAAATTTAACATTATATTTACGCTTCAATAACAAGAAATCGAGATGGTTCTTTTAAGGGAGTAACAATGACAAACAATTGTTTTCGAAGTAAAATTTTGTTTAAAAATGCTATCAACAGCAAACTAAAGCATTTTTAAATAATCATCAGTCACTATTTTATGCCATCACAATCGAAACAACTGATACCGATACGTTTATCGTGTATGATTCAAATATTCTCTCAGTGAGTAATGAATAAATTCATCATTTAAAAATGCATACAAACTACGCATTTGTATAGCAACTTTCAAGTTTTGACATCCAATAGATTAATAATATTCAAAATTGAAACTTCTTTTAACTCGATGTGCCATTTGTTTTCGTGACGATTCCGAGTAGCTTTTAAAAGTGTGCCTGGCAAAAGCATGCAAATTATTATTTTTCATATTATTGAATAATTAGATGTTAATTACTAATGAAACAAATATGTCGCAAAATGAAAATGGTTTTCACAATTCATACCACTTGTATGCCATTACGACCCTGGCTATCTCGTAATTAGCACATTTCTGAAAATTCTGTTGTTTAAACATCGCCGTAATTTCGAGGGACACAAATTCCGACACAATAGCCATAAATTCGAAATGAACTCTTTCCCATAATACATATTTTAAATGGATTTGCGTGAACTTTTTGACAAATACGTTGTTTTGATGGGTAAACAAATGTTATATATAAACAAATGTATATAAACAAAGTTTTTTAAATATTTTGTTGATTCAATGATATGCTGCTTGAAAAAAAGCGATGTTTATTTATAAGCTTATTGTGGTTCATCTTTAAAACATTATTTTGATGATATGTTTGTGCATCAATTGAAGCCAGTTAAGATATCTTTTTGTTGTTGTTAAAGATACGTGATTCGAATGGATAAAATTAAATTTAACTATGCTTGGATCTAAATAATGTGTAAAACGTGCAAATTTGACCGTGCATCCTTGCCGCATCGTTGTTGTTCACCATTCAAGTGGTTAATTGTGGGAATAAATCGCATAAAGAAGGTTGTTCTTGTGCATTGTCATCAAATCATCTGGAACTGGCCGAAATATATGGAATTGAATCAAATAGACATGTTTTCAACATAAAGTAGTTCATCTGATCGTAATTTGTTTACCGCAAATTCTTTGATCATTGCTTCGCTTCTTGTTTTCATTGCGTTTATTGTGTGTTTTTTTGCGTTCTTATTCTCCTCACTTGAGGAAGGTTAACTTTTTGGTTTCATGTATGCCTGTCTATGGAATCGATCGATATATCGGTGTACATATACACTTGTTGCAGTAATAGTTTACTTTAATTATTCTGTTAAGCATTTCACTCAATAAAAATGAGCAAAACTGGAACATACGACTACATTGATAAAAAATCGAGTAGAAAATCATGTTTGAAAGGGACGGAGCGCTTGTTTCAATTTTGAGCGAAAAAAACAACAACAAATGAAATGCGATCACTGATAAGAAACACAATAACAACAGCAGTAGTTGTTCCGTAACACAACGAATGCTTCAAAGTGATTGTATTTCATTTTCTAACAAACATTTTGTGTGGTTTTTTTCTCATATTTTCTTGAATGTGTGTTTATTGTTCAACTTCTCAAGTCGATACATTAATATTTCGATTTTAGTGGCGATTTCGTTTTTTCCATAACGTTTCGTGTGGCTTGTTTCGGATATCGTTGTGTTTTGAGTCTAATTTTTATTTGCTGGTGTGCTGTTGCTTTTCGCCTTATAGACGATTGGCACACTCATTAGTATTTTTTGATCTTTTTTTTTTTACTTATTACTTCTGTGTGTTAAGTTTGTTTATTTTTTGTTTTTGGTGTGTGCTTTTTTCTCTTTCTCTCTTTTGTTTCTTCTGTAGTGTAAAATAATGATCATGTTTGTGTGTTTGTCGTCGTCGTCATAATTGAGTGGGGCGCGTGTTGTAAATCTGTTGAAGACTTACATTTGCTGTTGTGAGAAGAGGTCTTTTTCAGTTTGTTGTCTGCGAATGACAAAGCAAGTGAATGTGTGATCTGTGTGCGCTGTGCATTTTTTCCGTTTTTCATCACCTGTTTCTTTTCTGTTGTTTGTTGCACTGTGAACAATTAAACGAAAAACAAAACGATGGAATCAAAAGCAGATGAAAATTTACAAGAATTTTCCGAACCGTTGCTAACGAAATTAAAAAGTGTACAAGATAAACAGGCGTTTATTAAACCAACGCGAAAGAATAAAAATAAAAAAAACTCTTATTATATTGATAAAAATGACAATAATAATAGCGATAAAAAGGGAAATTCAGGTTTACTCAGTAATTCATCGACTTACTCAATTCTTCCAATTAGTGAGGTGACAAGCGGTTCACTTGAAGTATGGGCCAATTTACCTGATCAAATACGCTGTGATCCATCATTGGCATCGTTTCGTCAAGAGCATGAACGTATCCATGGTAAGTACTCGTATTTTAAGTATTGGCGCAACTAGAATTTTATAAGAAAACAAAACATTTGCAAAATCATTGCCTGAGCAAAAAAAAATTGTTGCCAAGGCGTTACTTTTTTTCCTTTTCATCTGTATAGAATCACGAAAAAAAAAACAAAGTAAAGGAATGGCATTGAACAATTTAATTACCATTAATCTCAATTCAATTGTGTGAGATCACACGCGATTTGCAGACTCATTTCAACACCTGTGATTTGAAAAGAGTAGACAGACTGAGAGAGAAAATTCTAGTTTGAATTTGATCTGTTTGGATCTCTCCTTTAAAGGTCATTACAAAACAAGTATCTAAATTGTGAGAATATAGTTTAAATAGTTTAAGTTTTGTCAACTATCTCCTGACAGTTGATATTTTTCGCCTCTTATCAAGAGTGTCTTCTCATTTTATCTGTGAAAATCGCAATTCCAAGTGAATGAAAAGCTGAACCAATGAAATCAAATGAATTGCCGATTAGATTTCGAAAGAGGCAGAGAGTATGTGGGCAAGGGGAGCAAGAGAGAGAGAGAGAGCTATCGCAACAGAGAGATAACCTCGATATAATTTTACATAAAGTTTAATTGATCAATGATTCCGTCTGCCATCGGCCGATGTCGAATTCATCTTCCGTGTATACTTCCCCTTCTAATTGAATATTCATTTGTGTAAATTGAAATTTTTCTGTTTCAAACAACAAACTGCCTACGAATTCTGGTGATTCGTGTAATTGATCGTTTCCGTAGTGTTTGATGCATTGATGTGATAATATACAGTAAATTCCAATTGCACTTTTGAAATAAAAAGAGCTTTCAAAGGTCGCAAGTGATAGCAATTGGGGCACGATTCACTCTTGTTGTACTTCATCGATCCACTTGATCGCATAATAGTTCTTTAATAAATCACTGCAGCACGTTTTTATGCCCATATATAGGAGTGTATAGGCGCAAAGTCGATGTGTTTGTTTGTTTTTTTTTTCATGCGATAGACCACTTTAGGTGCATACACAAACAAAAATGGAAAAAAAACTTTGATTTTGCCGATTGATAAGTTTCTAACATGAACTGTTTTATAACGACTTTACAATCTGTTGATTTGATTTAAAGGCGTTCATAATAATAAAACACTTTGCATTTAGTGTCACAGACACACATTTTCACGAAATCATAAACAATCGTTTATCATTTTTTTACACATTTCATAATCAATTCGTCTAAATAACTGCGCCCATTATTTTTGTAAAATAATTGTCGATATGTTCTGTTTTGTGTTGCAGCGATAATTGAAACTATAGTATTTAAAATATATTAATTTCTAAAATTCCTAATCAAAACAGCTATTTGCTCGATCTTGACACATTCCATAAATTACGACATTATCAGAGTAATCTTTAAAATATTACACTCAGTTTTGTGGTGTTGATAATGACTACTCATTTTATGTATTTTATTCAGAGTGAAAGATTTTTTACTTTATCGCTTGAGGGATTGAAGATTTAGAAAAAAAAAATTGTCACACCAAGTCGAAGCGTATGCATCAAATTATTGGTAATTCCAATTACCATTTTATTGAAACGCAGTGATTCGCAGACTTTATGACCTGTGTACGAATGTGAGAGAGGGAGACAAATCACCGCTTCAAAACCACTTTTATGCAGGTCGAATCGATATCTTTTTTGCCAACGTACTAGTACAAAGTGCAAAATGTAAAGTGTACGAAGTAGAACGAATATACGAAGAAAAATAACAATTTATTGCGAAATACCGGTTTTTATTTATATTGGCGCATCTTTCGTGGCAAGTGGATTGGAAGAAAAAGAAGAAAAAAAATCTTGAATATTACATACTTGATTCTAACGGCATGCGTACGACAAACTTTTCACATCAGACAAATTCAGACTTGATATCGATGCTTTTCTTCTTCTTTCGATACTAGTAGAGTTCTATAACCGAAATGTTTGCATTGTAAAATATGCGCCGTGACGAATTCGATTATAATTCGCACATTTTCGTTTACATAAGCGGATAGAAGCTTTCAAACTCCTTTGACGCAATGTTTTCAGCAATCAGATCACAAAACATATCACGTGCTCCCTCTCCAAAAACAAGAAACTTTCATGTATTGGAAGTCGAAACCACTCATTCTTTTATATTTCGACACATTTCTCAGCGTCATGGAATGATGCTTCGAAAATTGTATTTCCAACATTATCCCTAAATCGAACGTCTTCAACAAAGCTTATGTATTACGAAAGAAGCAAAATCATTTCGTGTCATGAATTCCTTGAGAATGTCACTTTTTCTACTTTAGCCATTCCCTTGGCTTAATCAATTAATATCCATTGAAAAGCGAAGACACTGTAATGGTTTCTTATGAGCAAATTAGATATTAGACAATTTAAATAAGTCGATTTAGTTTATTGGAAATACAATATTATTATTTTTTATTGCTTATGTACTGAAATCAAGTGTTGCTGCACGTTGGCAATTATATTTTCAGAATAAACATACGTGTTCTCGCCCACATTTCAAACAGCAATATTGTGGACGTCATTTTTACAGTCAATTAGGCTTTTCTTAAACGTTCCTATTACAAACTTCTATACTTCCATTATCGACCGTCAATTGTCTCGCCATTTCAAAAATGACTATAACTTGAATAGAATACGTTTTTAAGAAGCACTACTAATTTGTTGCTGGTGAATAAAGTCTGTCTGATCACATCATAAAAACCGGATGAATACTAATTGAAAAAAGAAATAAATAAGATTGAAGTCTATAATATTAGGTATAGATTTTTGTGGTTTTTTTTACACCACAGGGGTTTGCGTATGCACAGCATATTAATAACATTTCTCATTTTGCCCATTTGTCTATAGGTTCACATTTAGGTGTAGAAGAGCAGGATCCATTGCCGAATGAAGAAGATGTGTCGGTGGGTGATGTAAATATAACGAACCATGCACATCCTCCAGTGACCGGTGAATTTATTGCGATAAATGTCAGAAATGACGAAGGCGAGAAAGTCAAACAACAGCTTCCAAATGGGTAAGAATTGACTTTTATTATTTACTTGTTGCACCGATAACACGATTGTTTTTAATCGGTTGTCGGATAAAGTGCGTCAAAAGCCAATCGATGTGAAGGACAATCGCGTGCCTTTGTTTTCACTACTTGAATAAACATATACATATGCGATAAGTACAAGGTTATATGAATATTCTTCAGGGATGTCCTTTGAAGTTATTTGTTTATCCACATAATTGAATCCTAAAAATATCCATTGAAATGCCATTAAAGAGATGTGAACGGGGGGAATCCAAAGTAAAACCAAAAACATACACGTGTTCCATGTGACACGCGGTATCATTGCGACACGAGTGGAAATTTCTTTTGAAAATTCATTATATTTATCGACAACTGTACAATATTACATTGTTTCCATGGCTCAAGTAGCGTTTTACTTTAATCGCTCATTCTCTTAATGCATTTACTTCAGTCAGTTGGCTCGAATTTGGTGTGCGTCATTCGCATGCAATTCAATTACATTGAGCACAGTTTGCGGTTCGCATAAAAATGTGATGCACTTCTCAATGAGATATAAACGAAATGTATTGTGGAAAAATGTGATTTATGGGATAAATCTACATGTTGATATTGGCTAAATAAATCAATTTGACGTCAACAATGTGGTTAAATGCTACGTGACTTATTTTCTTTTCATTTCACAGGGAAAATAGTACAGTGTTATCGGATCTAAACCATACAGGTGTTACGGCCAATGAGAGCGATGAAGCTGAACCGAAAACCGTAAGTATATTATTTCGAAATTGATTTGATTAACGTATTATTTTTATGTGTTGTTGTTGATTTGGGCTTTTCGTTGGCACACACATCGCTGCTTACGTTTATTTTGTAACAGTAAACAAAATCAAAAACATTTTATCCTCATGCCTTATTTCGTCCCACGTTTTAGACGACACAAAAAATATTGAACGGCATCAAAATAGCGCTGTTGGTGGCTGTATGGATTTTATTTACGGGCATTTTGATGTCAAAAGATGAAAAGGTGCTGACACATCATCAACTGGCTGTTCCGATTCACAAAAATAAAAGTAGGTCAAAATCACGGTTTTGAAACGAATGACAAGCATAAATTAAATCATTTTTCGTCCATCAAATATAGCTTATGTTCTTGATGAATTGCCACTTGAGTCTCGTTTGGGTGTTGTTATTTATGGTGCATTTGCCGATGAAAATAGTAACTCAAGCAATTTTCTACACATCCAAGTTCAGTTGCTTCACAGACAGGTGGACGATGTGAATAGTAGTTCAAGCATTGCATATATTGAAAATGATAATAATATCTTTAAAGTACCGATTGTTGAAAATATCGAAGACATCGACACGGCACCAGAAGTGAAAAGAACCCATACATTCCATTTAGATCAAAAGATGTTTGAACAAATTGAAAACAATAGTACCATTCTGCGACTTCGAATTGGTTCAAATTTACCGGTTAGTTTTCCTATCAATTTGGCATACGATCCAACGCCAATCGATAAATCACTCGGCGTTATTTATGCAGCCTTTGTTCTATTGGGATTATATATTATGATTATTTGGGAAGTGGTGCATCGAACATTTGCCGCCATGGTTGCGTCAACGACTGCAATCGCCATTTTAGCATTGATGAACGAACGACCAACAATGCCCGACATAATGTCATGGATTGACGTTGAAACATTGCTGTTGCTCTTTGGTATGATGATATTAGTTGCAATTCTCTCAGAGACTGGTATTTTTGACTATTTTGCCGTTTATGCATTCAAGGTAAGATAAATATTACCTCGAACTTTCATAAAGTAGATAAATTGAATGGAATTTTTTTTTATTTTGGTTAATTAATACTCAATATCAATTCGATGTAGATTACAAATGGAAAAATTTGGCCACTCATAAATTGTTTATGCCTATTTACGGCGCTTATGTCGTCATTTCTTGATAATGTAACGACCGTTCTACTGATGACACCAGTTACAATTCGTTTATGTGAAGTGATGCAATTGAATCCGGTAACTATTTGATTTGATTTTCTAAAAAACCGGCCATTCAAAAATTATCAAATTAAATAATAAATTATTTTTTTTACAGGTACCAATTTTAATGTCCATGATCATTTTCTCAAATATCGGTGAGTTGAAACATTTATATGCATAAAAAGAAAGATAACTCAATGTTTAATGTTTATTTCACAGGGGGTGCAATCACTCCGGTCGGCGATCCGCCTAATGTAATTGTTGCATCAAATCAGTATGTTATTAATAGCGTAAGTATCAAATCAATATGTTATTTATAGCGTAAGGTCAAATATTGTTTTTTTCGTACGTTCAAATATTGTTATACTTAAATTAAATGGTTTTTTTTTTCACTGAATTTTGCAGGGTGTGAATTTCTTCACGTTTAGCCTTCATATGTCAATTGGAATTATTTTAGTGATGGTCCAAACATACATACAATTGCGATATAAATTCCGAAACATCAACGATTTACGCTTCGTCGAACCACAAGATATTCAAGAATTGCGCCATGAAATAGCCGTTTGGCAACGGGCCGCTTCATCGTTGTCCTCATATTCGAAAGACGAAGATTTGGTACGTGAAACGCTTGTGAAAAAAGTCAATCGACTTCAACGGCATCTTAAGAAAAAAATATCATCGGGTTCAGTTCCGGCAGATAATTACCAGCAAACTTTGGAAGATTTACAAAAAAAATATCCAATTCGTAATCGTGCACTATTGGTGAAATCGGCCGTGACACTGATATTTGTCATAAGTTTCTTCTTCTTGCATTCCGTGCCCGATATACAACGATTATCGTTGGGTTGGACTGCACTGTTAGGTGCGATATTATTATTAATTTTATCTGATCGTGAGGATATGGAATCGATTTTAGCACGTGTAGAATGGTCAACCCTACTATTTTTCGCTGCCTTATTTGTATTAATGGAATCATTGGCAGGACTTGGGCTGATCGATTGGATTGGTACACAGACCGAAAGTATCATTTTAACAGTTAACGAAGAATCTCGTCTGGCTGTTGCTATTTTAATCATTTTGTGGGTGTCAGCAATCGCAAGTGCTTTTGTCGATAATATTCCGCTCACAACGATGATGATTAAGGTGTCAATTTCATTGGCAGAAAAGAAAGCACTCAATTTGCCATTACAACCGTTGATATGGGCATTAGCATTTGGCGCTTGCCTTGGTGGTAGGTTTTATTTTTCTCATCCACCCGCAGCTATTTGATTTTCCAAATCAGACTATCAAATTAATTGCCATTCATTTTTTACAGGTAACGGTACATTGATTGGAGCATCGGCAAATGTAGTATGCGCAGGTGTTGCCGAACAGCACGGCTATCGATTCACATTTATCGAATATTTCAAGTACGTATACATTATGATGAGCAAAAAATTGGAAGTCCCACAGACGTGATAATATTCATGCTGACAAAATTACTTTTCTACTTTACAGAGTTGGTTTTCCCGTTATGCTTGGTTCAATTGTTGTAGCAACCGGATATCTTCTTGTTTGTCACATGTGCTTTACATGGCACTGAATATCATCCACAAATATCACATCATATTCAATTTGTGTTCGACGGAAACGTGTTTTTTCGGGATTGTGAATGAACGAGAAAAATTGCACCATCATCATTATTTATTGCATTCGTCTCTTAGCAAAATACAAAAAAAAAATGTGTATTTAGTTGAATACGATTCCCCAACATTTCAGAACTTGTGCTCAAAATCTTTAAAGCATTTCCAATTGGCAGATGCTTTGAAGTACAGATTGTGATTGATTCTAGAGAAACAAACACACATGTAATGTGCGTGAATTTAATTTGTATTAGAAAATTGAAAATTATCTATATGTTATTGTTAGGAGTAATTTGACGGCCAACGTTGACCGTTGGATTAGAAAATGAACAAATTTAAGATATTTACTATAAAGAAAATCATACACACAATATAACCCGGACAAAAGGTACAAACTATTCCATTTGAAAATTTAACAATATAGCCCAAAATAAAATATGCCAACAAATGGGCTGATCAAATTTTGAGAAAAAAAATTCCACAAAATTCGACATAAGAATTTTTTTAGGATTTGTGCAACAATGAATTTTCTTCATTTATAATGTAATGCAAATTATAGAGAATTTTCGGAGACAAAAAAAATTATGAACGATTCCGAACTCAGTTTAACTCTAAATTTAACTGTTGAAATTGTACATAAACATGCTATTATAAAAATAGAAAATTATTAACGTGCAATTAGAATTCTAGAACTCTATCAGAATGAATAGACATTAATTTCATTAGCAGATCGTTGTTCAGTAATTGAAATAGTACAAAAAGTGAGTTTTATTGAAATTATTATGAAATAAAAAAAAAATACTAATAAAAATTGATTACTGAAGAGAAGTTTTGAAGAGCGAAATAGAACAATTTGGCTGAATTGAATTTCGGCCGGTCAGGGATGTATAAACATAAGAAACGTGTGCCTTATCAAAAAATAAAATTCTATGAAGATAAAATCAATAGGATAAATCCCAAACATACCTCACAATGAATTAATCGCAATGACTGAAATAATGTCATAAACCGGAATTCATTGTGCGGCATGCTCTGGTTAAATCGATTTCAAATTTTATAGTTAAAATCAATTCACCCTCTCCGACCAAAAAAAAAAAAAAAGATCAGTTTAATTAACCCTTACCGGGCAGGTCAAAATCCTAACGTTATCGGGCAAGTGGCGCCTCTGAGGCCCGACGTACGTTTTCTTTGCAAATTCAATGAAAAAAAAATTGATATTGAATTAAATATGTTTTTTGTAAAATATAACTGAAAAAATGAAAAAATAATCAATATTTATTCCGAATCGGATAAATTTAAGTTTCAGCTCAGTAGTTGTTAAGTACAAATTTTGCACTTCGTTTTAAAAAATTTGATGACATTTTGTATGGAAAATGTACGTCCGGTAGTTGTTCAAACCTCAATACAGCGCTACTTAGGGAACCAAATTCAAAACAACTTTTATCAACGATTAGCAGAAGGATGAAAGAATATATTACAAAACAATTTGTTTGATTAAAATAATAATATTTTATGCGTATTTATGTATCTTTTTTTAAAAAAAATACACTACTGGGCCTCTGAGACCCGAACTGCCCGGTTAAGGGTTAAAAGTGTGGAAGAATGAATTCTCCTGAATTATATACATAATTCGATAGCACTTGTGATGTGCAAAAAATCTGGATAAAAACATACATACCTAACGTTGGCGTTGATTAAGAGCCGGACATAATTAGCTATATTTTCTTCATTGAATAAATATGTTGTGAAAATATTGTAAATTATATCAAAAACAAGTATATATTGAATTTATTGAATAATCATATATATTTTCATTACTACAATGTGTATCTTAACTGAGCTAATCTAATTGCAATGTTTGCGACTTGGCAAATTACACACATGTTTCTACAAGCTATGCTAATTTTCTTTTATACACGTCCTAAAATAGCTTAAATATTTTATGTACGAAATTTACATAAAGGTCGAGTGGCGTTGATGTAGTTGCTCACCATCTGCTGTACAGTTCTCGTGTTTGGATTCTATACACTTTTACCTAAAAAAAGGATTTTTTCGTGTGTGTCTTTTGATAAAATGGTATTCGCAATGTATTTGTATGCTGTACACGTTTGACAAAGTAATCGAAAAACTATTTTGGTCAATAGTTTTAATCATCAAGTGAAACATCACTTAAACTTGCTTTGATTTTCTCATTCTGTTTCAGTTTGGCAGTGTTCTCACGTGCCGCAAGGTCAATGTGTGTGTCCATCGTCTTCGATGGCAAGGTGCCGATTGCCCGTGGAATGGAATCACTCTGTTTGGCGTACATCAGCTGTTGCAATTGACGTAGACTTGACTCAGGTATTACGGGTGACGCTGGAATTGGATATTGATTTTTGGCATTGAACAATGTTTTCAGCGAATCATGCTCAACTGAAGCGGCCTGTGGCTTATGCTTCTTTTCGATGGTCTTCGATTTCATTTCATTCGCCCATTTATTCAAATAGCTATTTCCACTTTCAATCGTTTGCGCCACCGGCTATTAAAGATACACATTAATGTTAGCATTTTAGATTAATAATTTGTCGTATAATACTTGCTTTTTTATTGTAATCTGATTGATCAACCATACGTTTGCTGGTATCGGAATCATCATCGGTCGAAGCACCTTTTCCTGAAATGAAAACCACATGTATGCATTATATGTCTATATTTGATTTCAAAAGTTCCAGTATACTGGGTGTTAGTGTATTATTAATTGGCACATACCTATCGGTCGGGTAAATTTTTGTGGTCCAATTTCAAACATAACTTGAAAATCTGCATGTTCACCAAGTCGAAAACCAAAACCAACACGCGAATCAGTTCCTTTTTTAACCGGCGGAATATTTGAATAGACTAACGATAACACTGATGATAATTCCTGTGGCACGATGAGACCATTGCAATCTACATTCAAAAATAAGAACAACATCATTAATTAGTCAAAAATCTAATGAAGGGTTGGTTAAATAAATAAAATGTCTCTCTATTTTGATTTTGACCACAATTTTTTTCTTAATTTTCATTGTGACTATGATTCAATGTATCAATGATTTCTCTTTCATGTTGGAATAAAATTAAAAGCGACATTATAGTGATTTTTTAATGATAATTGCTGTAATGTTTTTTTTTAAAAGACTTCATTTGGCTTTACATTCAGCTATGTATTGAGACGAATAGAAAATTATTTTAAAAAAATGTTGCTGAGAACATTAGTGTTTAACTACGCCATTTTCATTGAATGTTCTTTTTATGTAGCTATGAATTGCGATTTTTTGATTGAGAAGCAAAAAAAAACACCCAAGGCTATTTCGTTTAGTTTTGTAGATAATATCGTAATTTGTAATATGGTTTTATACGGTCATACACAAGATGATTAGCAAAACAGTTCCAATTAATTATAATGAGACACCGCAACTCTTCTATTGCCAACAAAAGAATGTTAATTTTGAGGATTGAATACAAAAGCTCAACATATTTTACACTTTATAAAAACTCCAAAAAAAAAAAAATATTATTTGAGTTGCAAAAATCGGTTTGAAAAATCGAAAATTAATTTGAATCAATTAACCAATTCCTCAACAATAGATAGACAAAAAACGGGATGTAAAAAATGCAATATGCCAATGACCTTTTTGGAAATTTTGCAAACACGTTTAACATAAAGTCATAAAGTAAACTCGATCAAGTAACTCGCACTGTGTTTGGGCACAACTTCATATAGTTGAGCAAAATGAAGTGTAGAAAACAGAAAATTGTAAAAAAAAACCAAGCCAGTGAAGTGTGCGCATACTAAGCAACTGATATAAAAACCCATGCACGAATCGGTCCATTGGCTATTCTGTGTCAATGTCAACAGGTTTTTTTTTGGGTTTAATATCTCTTGTGTGTGTGTTTATTTCTTTTTTCGGTACAATCCATTGACTTATTGAAGTGCGTAATTCATCACCTGAAGCTGGTGCTGCCTGTGCAGAGAGCAATTCAACGAATCGCATTACTTATGGCATCATTACATACATGATTGGAGTAGTCTTTTGATTTGTCATCTTTGCCATTTGGTTTTCATTTAAAATACTGCCGATGAAATACATCCATTTTGGTTGAATTGTAAATGACGGTTATTGCGTTTGTTTGTGTTATTATTGAAATCTTACGAAAGTGACTTTTCTTTTGTTGAATTTGTTATATTGTGTGTATTTTTATATGTGGATGGTTAACGATGCGTGTGCTGAATGCATATTTATTGATTTCGTTTTAAACATTGTACACACAAGTCGATACACAAATGTTTCGTATACGCAACGTGCTATTTAGTCATCATTTTCTCCGCCATCAACAATGTGAAGACGATATTTTCTCTTTACTTGTGACATTTACAAAAAAAAACCAAACAGTTGTCAACCGAAACGTCGCACAAATGGAATCATTTCAAAAGTTGAACTGTAAATAGAAATAAATACGTATAATTGCAAGTGAACGGAAATCTGTACACGAATGAAGCAATAGAACATACTCGAATCACCACAAACATCTACATACAAACATAAACCATGCATCAAAGTAAATCAAAATTGGCAATTAGGAAATGTTTGTTGTGTAACATTGTGACTATTTCAATTTGAGAAAACAACTAAACGCTAAACAACTACCGGGGTTAAAACTGTGGCCTTTGATGATGAATGAAATCGATTTAAGACTTGGATTTATATGTTTCTCGACAGTTACTCACGTTTGCAAGAAAACCCATTTCATAACCTATACACAAATAACGTATAATGTGATGTTTTACCCCGACAAAACTCATTCGGTTGTTTATAGGCGAGCATAATGTTCATTTACGTAAAATTCGACGTCACACAGTAATAAACTCTGGTCATAATGGGTAATTTTAGAGTTGTCGTTTTGAATGGGCGAAATCGGTTGGAAATCATCGACCGGAGCACCGGTCTCAACTCAACACTTCGCGTTTGTGAATTGCAACCAAAGTGCATAATGTCAATACAGCATTGACATTTTACTGTATGTAACAACATGCAATTTCAATCGTAGACAATTTGCATTGGCAAATGCAAAATATGTTCACCAAGTTTTTGCACTCACTCTCACATGTTTTCAACTTTCAAATTGGATATCACGATATGTGCGTTTGGTTTTTACAGTCAATAAACTTCAAGACATATATTTTGTTTGGTCGTAATATGGCATAAAGAGTGGATATAAGAGAAGAAGTTTGGTGAAATCTGAGTTTATTTGCTTCTTTAGTAAATAACATTAAAACATGTAATGAATGAGTGATATCCGGTTAAGACAAAACACCATAGTCACTTAAAGTTTCATGTATTTTTTTTTTTAATTCGACCTTCAGCAGTGAGCAATATGATTCAAAGGTCACCAGGCAAAGTGCCGAAAATCGTTGAAAATACATAATTGGTTCAATTAGCAATGGTCCAACGGATGCATACTTGAGATTCATTAAGTTAAGTTTTGCGAACGTGTCTAGGCGATGATAATAAAATGACATTTACACTGGTTGGGCTACGAGTTTACCTCGTCACCATCAATGAAATCGGATACATGAATTTTTGCATAACATACTCCATCATCATACCGATGCCGAGCAACTGATATGAAACGTGCATTGCGTAACAACCGATATTGAAATAGATAAAACATTTAAATCGAATCATTTCATATATACATATTGCAAACACATTGTCTACCATAATTATTTAATTCCAGTACAAACGGAGTTCAAGTGAGTTCGTGTGCACAGAAATGGTGTGGAAAAATCTTTTTTCATTAAAAAAAATAGCGACGGTTTTTTTCTATTGGCCTTGATCCAATCTTCACACCATTGCGCTTAAAAAACCGAGAGAAATCAAACGATTTCAACAATCCGTTGATAATCGCACGACTTTTTTGTTTCATACTTACAGCTTACGAGCAAAGTTAATCCAATGAATAGAGTTTGCATTTTTTTTTTGTTTTTTTCAACGAACAAATTCACACATTTACAAAATTCTCTACTCTCGTTTTATTACACGAAATTGAGCTGTTTGATTGCTTGATTAATTGAATGTCTCCACTTTATATTTATTTTATTCACACTGTGTTCCATACATTTTCTCACCGTATATTTTTGGCACTGAGCTCTTTACAAATCACTGAAATATATTTTCCGTTTTGAATATTTTTTTTGATATTGTGGTTGCACACAGACACAATTTCGATTCAATCAAGTTTCAAAAAGAAAAAAAAACATCCAAAAATTATGCGATTTCAAGTGGCACACATATTCCAACGAACGATGAAATGAAGTGGATTTTTTTCCTTCTTCTTTTGTTTGGTTTTTCTTCTTATTTGTTTATCTTCTCTTCTTTTCCGCTGGAATGAAAGTAAAAACACTTGACCGTCGAACTTTCGGTTTTTTTATGATTTGGAATGTGTATAATTTGATGGGCCGTGATGTAAATGATAATACACAATGATGACGACACAATCAAAGACTCACAAGAAACATAATTGTCGCGTGGATACAGCGAGATATGCAGCATTCGATTGAAATCTGATCGCATTCACGCTACAATAACGGTCTACCTATTGAATTATACCGCACGTTGATATACACATGGAGTTTCTCAGCTCACATACAAAATTACCACCACAAAAATCGTTTGTGCAAGAATGAGTATGTCTGTCAAATATAGTGTGTCTCTTTTGAAATTGTTCAATTTCGTCGTCGTTTAGTACATACTCATAAACATTAAACGATTTGATCTATAATTTGTCAAGCAAACCATTGAACAATAATAACATTATGAATCGGTTTCGATGGATCTCGATTTCTTTTCTTACGTTTCACTCATATTTTACTAACGCAACAAAAAAAAATTACATTTTCTCAATTTTACGATAGAATTAAAATTGTATTGAATGCACCAAAGAGCGTACGGTTGAGAGAAGATAACACCAACGATATATGCGTGTGTGTATGTGGATGTGCGTAAAATGATGATGATGCTTATCGATTGACGATAAATTTTAAACTAAATTGAAAATGAAACAGAAATTTAATCATGACCCGGTTTTCGTTTGCCATAAACATGATGAAAAAACTCTCTCTTTGCAGAGAAACACATGCGATGTGATTGGATGCATGTGTGAGTGCGCTTATACGTGCATTCGCTTAAAATGTATACAAATATATGACCACACGTGCACAAATCCACGGCAAACAACATCATACGACATTTGCTATCGCATATCTTACTTATTTTGTCATCGATGCAAATGTGTTTGTCCAAATGATTTTCATACATCTGAAAAAAACTTGCCATTCCATTTATAAACATTGAGAAAAACAATCGTTTCACTTTCGCTTAAGAAACCTTTCAAATATCAGCTGAGCGTATGGGCCCAGGAACGCACTTTCATCACAGCACATTGAACGCAACCATTCGTTTTTTCCTTTCAATTTCAATCTGTCACTTTTCATAGTACAGCGTTGTTGCTTGGCTTACCGCCAATTGTTCGTTCCAACATAAACAGTCAACAGCATCGTTTGCAGTGCGAAAAAATGGAAAGAGAAATGGTAAGATTTTCACATTTTTTATCGGATTTTGCTTTAGATTTTCATAATTTCGTGATATTTAGTTGTTTAGTGGTATTTTTTTCATTTTTTTTTGTTAGAAATTTAGTGATTTTGTTTTCATTTTTTTCAATTGATGTTGTGACTTTTTTCATTGACTCGATAGATTGTCTGTGCCTTTTGCCAAGATTCGCAACAGGATTTGAGACGTTTAAACAACAGAGATCATTTGGAAGTCTTGCGTGAAAAAATCAGAACTCTCAGACGAACCTCACTATTTTGTACATTGTGTCGACATCGGGTCGAAGTGAAATTCAATACTCGCCAACGAAATGCGGAAATTAGAGCACGTAAAGCAGCACGTAAAGCAGCACGGTTAGCAGCAACGAATCGAACAGGAACATATACAAATGCCTCGACAAATCCAGGTGAATATAAACTTTACGTCATTTTACCGATCGAAGATTTGTGATGCATTCGAAACATAGTAGCGATGTTGTCATGTGTTGGCGGAAAACTCTCTGGAGTTTACACAAATGTAATTTGTTCGGTTGACATTTCTGCAAATGAATTTGAAAATTGAAACGAATTCAATTATGATTCAATTCTCATTCTAATGCAAAAAAATATCTTTTATTCACAGATTTAAATTTCGCATCGAGAGATTCTAATAATGGTTCCGCAGATGATGGCTTTGTAGATCATGCTCCTGGATATGATATTCCTGAAGGTCTTATAGAAGGATTCCCAGATATATCGGACGAAGATGAATACCAAGATGAAGGACCACAGAATCAAAGTAGCCATAGCAGTAACCGTGAAAACCAAAGCAATCGTAGCAATCGTAGCAATCATAGCAGCCAACATTCGGCAACAACATCTGGTAATCGACGACAAAGTGACAATGATGGTAGTCAACAAAGTGTTGGCTCGAAATCACCGCCGGTAAACTATGACTACAATGATGATGATGATGATGCTGACGCTGGCACACCAAATGACAATTCATTTCATGGTCATTCATTGGCACCTGCTACACGAAATCCATCACAAAGAACTCGAAGTTTGTCAGATATGCCACCCCAAGATGTAATGCGATCACTTGATGGTCAAGGTCGAGCTCAAGTCTTCGCCACGTTCAACCGTGGCCATGCCGGGTAAATTGAGCAAACACAAAATGAACAACAACAAGAACAAAACGACTTATTAGTTTATTAGTCCAATTCGTTATTTATTACTTGTGATTTAATATTATCAGAGATACCTATCGTATATTGTAGAAAATTAGTATCCATAAATCATGTTCGTTAATTTTCATCAATGTCGATAGATTAAGTTGAAAAGCCTGTAGAAGAAATGTCATTCAAATTAACATATAAACGCGCAAACCGAACAAAACCTAACAAATGTTGAAACCTCACAGAGAACTGTCATCTCTTATTACGTTTTCCACATTCATTTTTTTCCGTCGCAAGCAAAGTCATCTCAACAAACAAAAACACATGAAAAAAAGTTAAACGTAAATTACAACACGTAGTGCTATTAAGACAGTACCGATAAAATCGCCATTTAGTTTTGTTTAAATCGTGTAATTTTGTTGAATGTCTTAGAGTTATAAGCTTAAAAAGAGAAATTTGCATTGAATTATTATTTATTCAAGTAAAATTATCGAAAAAAATGGAGGAACTCTTAAATGAAACAGTTTCACAAGCAGAATTACAGGTATTACAAATCATTTGCCAATTACAAAAATCGAACTATTTTCATATGTCATTAAAATTACTATAAGACCTGAATGTTTGTTAAATAAATAAAAAAAAATCATTCGTTGACATTGGTTGCGTTTATTATTTGTTGCATACGAAATAATGGCGATGTAAATCAGTGCAAATATAGGAATATTCATTAAAATTCATTTAATAAAGAGAACAAAAGACAAATCCTATTGTTAACCACAGTAAATTGATGAAATAACTCATTTTTGACATATGCATATCGCACATACGACACATACAATTGGCCGAGTAATGAGTGTGTTGTTTTTTTTTGTACAAATGTACATATATGTTCTATTGTGGTGGTACAGTGACTGATATGAATCATCACAGTGAAACTGTCAACATATTGTGAAATACGCTCGCAAGTTCAATATTTGGTTCGTTTCAAGTTCAATGACGCGGCATCAGCCAAATTGATTTTTACATTGATACATATTTTTGCAATAATGTCTAATGCGTAATGTGTGTAGCATTTTCCACATGAAATCGTTGGTTATGCAACGCGTATAAGATTACCAAAATCAATGTGAGCATTGTTGTTGTCGCCGATTATTCTAGTAAATTCCATGAATGCGCCTTAGTATGGCGTAAATGAACATCAAATTACGAATTTCATGATCCGATCAAAAATACGTTAAATTTTCAGTTTATTCGTTTCTTTTTACGCAGACCTATTGTATCTGGGTTTTTTCCCGGGAATTGTTTGTATCATCTCGGTCAGTGTTGGCACTGTCAATGCATTTTTCCACACAACGGAGCGATCTTACACAGATCTATAGCACATTAAATGAAGTTCCTCTCAAATCGTGTATCTTCCAATCTGGCCAGAAAGACTTCAAATATAAAAAATATCAATTTTGTGATGTGAAATATGCACAGTAAACGTCTACACAGTCTCTAGACTGTGTATCGTATACTCTCTGCTAATGTCCGAAATACAAACAGCCGAGAGTAAATCGAAAATGACATATTGTTCAAAATTATATGTTAAATAGTTTTTTTCATGTTTCCCATTTGTTATTCTAGAAATTCGAAAAGAATTACAAACGAGAGGTTGAAGAAAAGGGTACCCAAGTAGCCGTTCAAACACAATTCGAATATGCATATTGTTTGGTTCGTAGCGAGTATCCAGCAGATATCAAAAAGGTAAGTCATTTAATTGACTTTAAACTTTCACATTTTTTATTTCCGGTTATGTGTGTGTCTATGTATTTCTAGGGGATTTTCATGTTAGAAGACTTGGCACAGAAGCACTCGGAAGGCAATCGTGATTATATTTATTACTTAGCCATTGGAAATGCCAGAATTAAACACTATTCCGTAGCATTGAAATTCTGTAAGGCTTTTCTACAAATCGAACCAAATAACCAACAGGCAATCACATTGGAGGTATGTCAATTTTTCAATAACTCACTTAATTTCAATCGTAGATTAGGTGGGTTCGAAGCGACTGCTTTGATTAAAATGTCATTTCTTTTTACAGGAGCATATACGAAAAAAGATGGAAAAAGAGACGATGGCCGGTGTGGCTGTTGCTGGTGGCGCAGCCTTGGTTTTGGGAGGCTTGGTTGGTCTGGGACTCGCACTTGCATCGAGAAAGTAGGATTTATTCCATTCATTCACACCGTTCTTAGTTCTCTTTTTTTTTGTTAAAAAAAATGTCATGTGATATCATTATTACACATTCGATTTGTTGTTCATTTTGTTTTTATGGTTTCATTTTTATGAAAGTAAAAAGAAGAGAGTTGGAAATTGTAAATGAATTTGTTATTATATCAAAATTTCAATACGCGTTCTCAATAAATCCAATTTTCACATGCAAAACATTCTGTTTGGCATAGTTCGTGACATAGAAAATTGTTAGTTCAAATAATAATCGACTTGATTACCGTTCCAATGTTTAATTTATTCATATATGAAATTTTCATTACATTAGAAAGGTTTTGTCAATGAAATTTTATTTTCTAAATAAAAACGAGATAGTAGCTGAAACAAAGCAAAAAACCAATTTGTGTATTAGTAGAGCAACATTCAATATATGCGAATATCTAGCACAAATTTGCCAATTAATATTGATCAAGTACATTCATTGTTTCATTAAATTCGTGTTATCATTCCAATTGTCTCTTTTAAAATTGTTGTTTTAATCGTTTGAACATAAATTTAAAACCCTAACCGCATTCATCAATACAATCTTTTTTCTTCTTCATTTCAGTAAAAGCAAAGACAAACATTAATCTGAAATATATTATATATATGATGTCTGCAAACCAAACGCACATGACCAAATTCCATTTTCAAAAATTTTGAATTCCGGTTGTTCTCCCGAAAATATGTTGTAATTGTTTTTATCTCTTTGTTTTTTTTTTTGTTCACGGCTGGAAGGATACTGAATAATTTTTATTTGTTATGTTAAGCCTAATTTAGTAGCCTCTTTTTATGCATATGGTGTTTTGAGAAGAAAAAAAAAGTATTCTTGTTGAAATGTGAAAAATTGAATAAAAGTTACCTCTATTTTGCGCTCGTATTTTGTCTACTAAAAAAAACACCGATTTTTTTCATTAAATCAAAATTTTATTTGCAACAATGACTGACCTATTACATCGTACTTGGTACACGAACATTTTATATACGCCATTGAATTGTGATCGACGAGATAAATTGATTTTTATTCGAGTGCGAATAATAATAAAGTGCACAATGTGACCCATTCGATAATATTTTATACGAGCCATGGTTATATCATCAGACCTATGCTTGTGCTAACTGGTCAGCTGATGCTTTTGCTACATGGAAAGTCGGCAGCAGCTGAAAAGTTAGCGCAAACATAGATGGGCTAATTGTTTTCTCCTTTGGAGTAGTATATTGGTTTCTGCTCTTATTCCGACTAATTGAATATTATTCTGTCTACTTTCACTTAGATATATGTGAATAAATAAATATACAATTTAGATCAAAAAAAAAAATTATACATAAAAAAAGGAATCGTTGATAAACTCATGTAAAGGTAAGTTAAGTCTGTCGATGCGAAGACAAATCGTGAACCACATTGGATTGCTTGAGCTGCTCTGGCAATCAAATTTACACAATTCGAAATAATATTAATAATATTTCCATTCTAATCCTGCTTATATAACCACCTAGGGGGTAGACACGAATTATAAAACTTTGAATCATGTGAATCACAGTGAATCAAATGAATCATTCAAATGTCAAATAAGCATCACTTTTGGTTTTACTAACATGATCGTTCAACAAATCCCAAATATTATCGTTGATTTTATTTGAAATTTACTAGAAAAACACGAAATAGATAAAAAAAATGAGTTAATACATTTAAAAAAACGTCAAGAAATCATTTTTTCGAAGACAAATAATTTTAATTTATCAATAAATATTTCTTTCATGACACATAAGTGACATTTCAAATGTCATCTAAACAATGTGAATCTGTTGAATCACAGTGAATCAAATGAATCATGTCTACCCCCTAGATAACCACTATCATTACCAAAAATTATATAAATATATGTTCAGAGAAATGAAATCATCGTCGATTTGGTTTTTGGTACAAATAAAGAAAAAAATTGCAAATATTCTGTAAGCTATGATGAGCCCTAGTATACAGCGCACGGAGAATGGCCGGCTATATGGCTATATCGATGGAACATTAGAGCCATATAGTTTACCGAATTTCAGCTGATGCCACTGGTCAGTGATATGAACTGTGCTTTGTAGTAGTAGGCACATATGCCAATTACAATCGAAAATGCTGTTGTAGCCAATGCGGTTCGTCTGTTCCATAGGATCTGCGGTATATATCGATACACCAATGAATTCTTTGCGGCCGCTTTTCGTTGGATTTGCAAACGTCGTTTGGCCGCCTCTTTTATTTCCTTTTCTCGTTGCTCTTTTCTGTTGAAAAATCAAAAAAAATTGATCGATATTATTGGAGTTCCATGGCTTAAAATTTGTAGCCATTTTGTATGCCAAAAAAAATAGAAAATTACTAGAGAACTTACTCTTTCTGAACCATTATTTGTACTTCCAATTCGATTTCATCTGGTGGATGTTGTTTGTAAAGTTCGGCTGCATTTTGTAGTAAATACTCAAATGGTAGATCTTCAGGCAACTGTGGAAAAACGACATTTTTTTGATTAGATCAATTTAAGATATTTTTGGTTGGCATTAATTTTTATCGATTTCACTGGTTCTTACTTGTGAAAGAAGACAATGTAGGCTGGCCATGTCACAGTCCTCTTTGAAAATATCGTCCTCTCGATAAAGAACAATGGCAACCGTAGCATATAACGGCATTAGGAATGGCGATGCTAGGAAATAATCATACAATCGAACGACATTTCGGTATGAATTCAAACTGTGGCCAAACCACGTTAAATACCAAGGCAATGCAAATAACGTTCCAACCGACGATCTACACAAGTGATATTTTTGTGGATTAATTTCAATACATTTTTTTTAAAAGTAAATGTTGGCGTATGAAAATGCATACTTTAGCAAATAATCACATAATTTGGCACTTTCACGACGAATAATGGGATACAAATACATGAGACGATGTTGTGTTGGTTCCATTGTTTCTTGCATGCACTCAACGAGATGATTTGTGGACAATATTTCCATGACATGAAAGGCAACCTCTTCGCCAACAACTAATAGAAATGTAATAGCTACATCGTGATATCCCTGCAAACAAATGATTTTAAACACAGTTCTTGTAATGGAATTTTTCCATCTTGACGCCAAATCAATAACATTTTACCTGATAATATCTTAGATGCGGATATTTGATGATGACACGAAGAATCAAAACGGTGAGTTGATCTTGTAGTGCGATACGTTGTTCGTAGGGTATGCCCGGTGGAAAACGTTTTATTGATCGATTTACATCCAAAATCACTTGATTGTATTCACGGTGAGATTTTAAATCCTCCAGATTTGGTGCTGGATCAACGGTATTTGGATCAATTCCAACGAGTCGGGGCCATACTTGACGCCTTAAATCATCTAAAATCACAAGAAAAATGGAAAGTGTTCAGAATTTTTATTGTTGTAATATATCAGTTGAGAAATCTCACCGCTAACTAGCCCGTAGTCACTCTTGGCAAATTCCTGCCATTTACTCAATGGAGTATTTGGATCAGTGAGTGCCGCTTCAATTTTCTGCCTCTTTAATTTTTCTTCAACATTTTCTGGCACTAGAAGAAAGAACAGAAATAAACACACAAACCATCAGTGAAATATAAATTATGAAGCAATACGTGTTTAGTTGAGCGTATAGAATATCTAGAACGATTGCATCTATTGTACGAGTGATTCAAGAGGAAAGAATTGATTATTTTCACGCAATATATGGATCCAAATGCAATGTATATGGAATCGTTTCGAATGAGCAGACAAAACGAATATGAAATGTAGAAAAACCGATAAAACACATCGTTATGGTCGTTGCTGTTGCGTGAAATTCGAATGCCCACATGCGACGATACAAGCAGTTAACTGTAATCAATTTTACATTTTATAAACGAAAAACGTTGACCGAATTTAATGATGATGATTCATCGATGTGTTCATATATTTGTAAACAAAACTTATGACACAGAAGTTATTTTGAATAATATAGATTGTTCAAATAATGATGACGATGATTATGATTATAAATTTAAGTCAGGTCACCTTTTTCAAAGCTTAATTCAGTTGGTTCATCCGATCGTCGTTCCGTACAAGCGACAAAAATTCCATTCGATTTTTCTTCTTCGCCACAATCGTTCAAATTATTCGGTGTATTTGTATCATTTATGAGTTTTCTATTCTCCGAATTTATGTCATTTTCATTGTTTTCATTTAATTCACTCGTTTCAATGAATTCAATGTCCTTGACATCCAGTAATTTTGCGATTTCTTCGTCTTCTGAAAGTTTATCCATTTTTACGCACTAACTTAATGAGAATATGAGGGTAAAAAGTTCACACACACAACACAAATAAATTCTCGGTTCACTTTTACATAATAAAAAAAATTGTACGTAATTGTTTTTATCCAGTTTAAATCTGATTATTTTTCCCATACAAATATTGATTGATTTTGTCGTGCACTTTGGTCGTGTGGTTTCATTCGTAGCACAGCTGTGTTGAATGGATTTCACACAAAATATCAAATGGACGTCAGGCTTAAAACTTTTTTTTTGACATATATGAAATTGGCTCGATATAAAATATCAAAACAATCACCCGTCTCTCTACCACAATTGAAGGTTTTGTATGATGTTTTTTTCTTCTTCTCTCGTCTTACTACGTCTATATTCGTCGTTCTTCAATAATTTTCATACAAATTTGACGTTACGACAATATAGCAACATTGTTTTTGTATTGAAAGGTCTTGAAGTTTCGCAGCTGTTCAAATGTACGTTATGCGCGTCATTTATTTGGAACTCGTTCAAATGCTCGATGTAGCCCTGCGCCGCTAAACGGTTTGCCATGTATCAAGGACAAATTGACAATTAAAAATATATTCAACATTTTGTTGGCCAATTTTTTTTCAATTTGCTTAACATTTTTCACAAAATTGTAATTTGTTAAGGGTTTGAACAGCGTTTAAAGTAAATTTTGTGAACCGGTTTTGGACAACCCTGTCGCTGATCGAAACGCCATTTATGTATGTAGTACTAACGTTGCGTTTGACATGTTTGACATGCGTTTTCATAGAGCATTTACAATAAAAGGAAATGTTGTAAGAGTGTTCAGATGAATTAAGGTACGTGTTCCATTCGCTTGTACTTGGAGAAAAGTGTGGTTCAAGAATAAAGAGAGAAAAAAAACCGTAAAACTTTTGATTTCAATTTCAACTGATTAATTTGCATCGATTTCACTGTTTCGATTGCAATTAAACAATCGAAAAGGTAAAGAGAAACAAAATTCGATTTCGTTTGATTGGAGAAGAGAAAAAAAGCACGCACTTTTTGTAAACCAGTATCGCACACTGTGAAAATCGTCTTTTTCGCAACTTTATCGACAGGGAAATACCCAGACAGTTGATAGACAGTGAACAAACATCGATTAAAATACACCGTTGTGGATTCTGGTGCAGTAAATAAGGAAAAATAAAACAAAAACAATGGCAGAGGATTTCGACATCGAGGCATTGCTAGAGGCACCGTACAATGTAAGTACCGAATTAAAAGAAAATACACAAAATATCCCAACAAAACAATTTCAGATACAAATTCCATATAGATATATGTATATTGTGAATAATAAGCAAAAAAAAAAAGAGAACAGTATATTGCAAGACAAATAAACAGAAGAAATATGATTGTGTATAGAATGTAAGTCAATTTCATCGAATAATATCTAGTACACGGTAAATATAAATGCAGTAACACACACTCAAATAGACGAAAAACTTATACAAAACTTCGACACACAATTGTTATTTTTTTAGACGTTTTATTTTTCGTTCCCTTTTGACTGTCATGAAATGATGTCTTGTTTCTTATATACATACAAGTTCTTTTTTTAATTTCGTTTTGTAAAATGTATACCGTTGAATGTGGATTTTTTGTATATTTTTTCGCCATAAATTATAAATTTTTTTTTCTCTCGTCAAATAGAGATTTGAGAAAATTGTAGAATTTTTTTTTGTCACCAGTGATCCCATTTTTTTTGTCTGTATGTATGCGATTAAGTGTGAAACCGAAATAAAACCAAACACATTTAGATTGATAAGCTAAAAAAAAATTCAGAACAACCAAACAAACTTTATAAAGTAACAAATGCACTCAAATATCCTCGTTTTACATTTTTATAGAGAATTGTTGATAAACCAGCAACTGCATCGATCGAAAACAGCCGAGGTACTTGAAACATAACCAAAAATCGTTTTATTTAAAATCGTCTCTGTCTCATTGAAACCAACAACTATTCATAAACGAGAGAAAATGTTTTCACAGTGAAAACCGATTTGAACAATGCTGTCGCCAATATTTTATTAAAAAGTCTCTTTCGTCTCTTTTTTTTTTCTTAAAAATCCTAAACTCGATTTTACATCCATTTGGATGTGTTGCCAATTCCATTTTGTCCCATGGAATGTTATTCTCCAGTACAGTTCAGTATGTTTTCTCTATCTATTCTCAAAATAGCCATTGAGCTCAAATACAAAGGTCAAATTCCAAATTACTTTATTCATGTACTAATTTCAATGCAATTAACTCTGTAATGCGACTTAAGAGAATTTTTTCCGCTTTTAATATCAAAAACAAAATTCAAAGAGTTTTTTCATGTTTGAAAAAAGAAAACGCTCCTTCCTTTCATTCCATGCTCGTTCGTCGTCACATCTTTGCATCATCCGTTCAGTAGCCAGTAACCAGTTTGATTATTTTCTTACTAATAATTTTAAAAATAGTTTTTTCTCTTTACTTATATATTTGAATTGAAAATTAGTTGAAGAATTTTTTTTTTTTTTTGAAAAAATTACATATTATTTTTTTTTTGTAAATGAATGAATTGCAAATGAAAAACAAAATCAAAAAAAAAATACAAATTAAAAACAAAATGAAATTTCTCGCCTCAGGGTACCATCTTCAATTCTTGAACCGATGTTAAACTAAAACCTCCTTCCGACAGACAGTTGTGGAAAATGTGATCCGTATACCAAAACAAAATGCATTTTTGTCTGGTACTTGAATTTAAATGAAATCAGCTGTGGTGATTTTTAATTTCATAAATCAAAAACAAAACAAAAAAAAAAATCTTTTTCAAAAAATCTTATAGATTTTGATGAAAATTAACTATTATACGAGTATGTATAACGTTCTGCTCATCTACCAACTAGGTGTCGATGTCTCAACCATCCATGGTGTTATGTGTACCAGTGTATTCTCTCAAAAAAAAACCTCCACACACAAGACACAGACAATGTCACAAATGAACCACGAAGCACACACACAATCACGAACGTGTTCGAAAACGCAGCTCGATTTCGAATTGAATTTCTCTTTTTTCTAGGTGTGGAATACAAATCATCAAATGCCAATTTCATGATCTATTATTGCAATTCATGCAATCGATATGCACAAACTAAAATGGTACCAAACAACTCTAAATTGAATCAAAAATAGAAAAAAAAAAAACATTTCCAAAACCAAGCAACCTTCAACTTATTTTTGTTAGGGACTTTCGCATTCAACGACCAACAAAATCGTTTTTTGACTTTTGAACTGACCCAAAATGTTTTACATTTTAATAATGTCTATTTGTTTGGGCCTGACTTATCAAACAGCAAGGTATTACTTAGCACGAAAACAAGAGAAAAAAAAATGTGGTGACATGCAATACACATCTCGTTTCTTCCCCTCATTTAAAACATCATACTCGTTTCTCTGTTTTATATGAAATATCATATAGTTGCATGATGTATAGAAAATAAATTTTCAGAACGAACTGAGTCACGAAGCAGTGAGAGTAGCGTTAGTATATCCATTAGTTCAAAGGGCAGTAAAGTAAGTGAAATTGGCAGTCGTAAGAGACGATGGAGTTCAACTGAATCGATTGCTTCCACTTCCTCGTCGTCCTCATCGTCATCGTCTAGTTTGAGATGTTCTGAACAAGCAAGTGAATGCTCTTCGAGCGAACGACGCATGTTTAGTCCGGCTTATTATAGACGTTCAATTGAAAGAACCTATTACAAACCAAACTATTGCCCATGGTCTCGTAACTCATCAAGCGAACGAGATAGTACCATTGAAAATACCACAGAAAAAAGATCATACAAACAATCTGTAAGTATACACCGGATGATAAAATGTATTTGACATGTGTCTTCTAACTAATGCCACAACATTGCTTAACCATAATATCCGTTTGAATGTTATGTGTCACACATTTTCTTCTGTTTTATTAAGATAATCAAAAAAAAATCGAAGCCGTTTGGTACAGTCAGTCCGAAATAGAAATTAAATGTTTTTTGGGTCAAAGAAGCAAGTCAAATGTCGAAAACCATTTTGTTGCGAATGGAATGAGTATTTACACATACAAAAAAAAAATCACACGTCGAGTGTCAAGAGTTTGTTTTATTAAAATCGGGTCTATCTTTTGCAGAACCATGATCGATAGTTGATCCACAGGTCTATACATTCGGTCGAGTCGTATATAAAATGTCAATTTGAATAAAAGAATGAAAGAAACAAAACCAATACACAAAATATTAAATCGAATATCGCTTATTCAAAATGCACAAATACAATAAAAGCGTCACATAATCACGGTAAGTTCGGAACAGCTCGCAGGTTGAAGTGATGAAGTGGCGTATACAGAGATCATCAAATGGAAGTGACAAGTGTCGTCCTCTCTTACAAATACAAATTCATTCATTCTATATATTGTTATATATATATTTTTTTTAAATTAGCTAGGACGCATTATAAATTTTTAGTGCATTTTCTTGAAAGCGAATTTAAGATATTCTATAGGTTTAACACATTCTCACCTCTTCAGTCGAACTATTATCACTCATATAATCAAATTACCTGTGCTTTTACTTCATTTCTATCTGTAAGCTTTTGTATGCTTTCCCTTGAACAACTTTCAATTTTATGTTACCATTTCATGCGTTTTTTAAATTTCTGTTTAATCAATGTATTTTTTACTCAATGTCATCTGCTCTATGTTTGAGAGCGATTTGCAAAAACCATCCAAAATATAATATACTCAAATAATATCGTTGAGTCGAGAGTAGAAAAATGGGTACCATAAAACAAAAGATATTCTAGAAAAAACCGTGTTTTTTCCCATCCAACGAATTTAAAAAATTCGTTATCAAATATATTTTATGTAATTCATAATTATTTCTAAATGTAGCGCATAAACAGAAACATTCTTCTTTTTTTTGAAAAAAATAAAAAAATAAAAATGTAAAAACATATTTTTGATTCTTTGATGAAAAGAAAACAAAATATTTATCAACGAAAAAAAATCATACATACTTTACATCTCTATTTTAAAGCCATTATGAACCTCACTAATTAAATTGAACACCATTTTTCTTTTTTTTCTTACTTTTTTTTGTTCCTGCTCTGATTGTTGTTTGGCCGCTCGCAAAATCAAATCAAATAAATGGTTTGGTGTGTGCAAAACGCTCACGATTCAATTGTTCAAAATGTCAATACTTCTATCACGACGACGCATACAAAATCAAATCCAAATACCAAACAAATCTTCATCACTTCTGCCCATTCTGCGCCAAAACATTAAAAAAACACTTTTAAACTGAAAAAAAAAAAAATATCGAAACCATTGTTTGCGACACTTTATCTGTGTGTTTCAATCCAAACTCAAAATAAACATACATTGATTGATTGATTGAATATAGGAGGATGTCAACAACACTGATAAATCGTCGCCGATCCATGTTTCGAGCAACGGAAAGAAGCGGGAAAATGGAAAACATCGATCCAGGTAAAAACAACATCGTTCAACATTCTCTACCATTTTTACAATTAATTATACAAAGCAAATAAAACTGTCGTTAAATTATTCTCGTAGAAGCCGGTCTCGGTCAAAGGACAAGGAACGGGATCGTGAAAGAAAACGTTCAGATCGGGACAAAGAAAAAAAGTCGTCAAGAAGAAGTCGATCACGTGATAAAAAGCGTTCAAGGTAAATTTTCACTTTTCCATTTCCATTTCCATTCCGTTCATGTACACTCTGGCTCACTCTTATCTGTCTCTAAAGAATATTAAACCGTTCTCTCATTTGAATTACATTTTGTAGCGGTTTAGTAGTATTTTTCAGATACACTGTATTAAATAGATAAATAGCATCAAATCAATAATATAAATTTGAATTTCACAGATCCAAAGAGCGTAAACGCAGTCGATCACGCAGCAAAGATAAGAAACGAAGCAAATCACGCGAAAGAAAAGTTCGCTCCAAGTAAGTTCATTCAATGCGTTGAATTAAGTGAAATATTTAATGTAAAAATGTGCATTTGCAGATCAAAAGAGCTTGAAAAGTCTCCTGACAGATCACGCGACAGACATCGATCGGATAGAGAGCGTGTGGAAAGAGAGCGAGAAAGAGAGAGATCTGAGAGAGATCGTCCTGAGCGAGAACGCCCAGAGAGAGAACGTCCGGACCGAGAACGCTCAGAGAGAGATCGTCCGGGTCGAGAGCGCCCAGAGAGAGAACGCCCAGAAAAAGATCGACCAGAAAAAGATCGACCAGAAAAAGATCGACCAGAAAAAGATCGCTCAGATAGAGATCGTCCAGATAAAGATCGCCCAGAAAAAGATCGACCAGAAAAAGATCGCTCAGATAGAGACCGTTTGGAGCGAGACCGCGAAAGACCGGAAAAAGATCGAAAAAGGTAAATTGATTTTTCAACAAATGTGCCAAAGCATAAAACACTAATCATCAAAATATAAATTTCAGAGATCGATCACGGAGTAAAGAGCATCGACGTCGTCGATCATCCCGATCACCAGATCGACGATTCAGACGCGGTCGGACACCGCCAAATTCAGCAAGTCGTGCTTATTCTCGTTCTGATGACGAGATTGATCTGGAAGAACGTGATGCTCGTACAATATTCTGTATGCAATTATCGCAACGAGTTCGGGCTCGTGATTTAGAAGAGTTTTTCTCTAGCGTTGGCAAAGTACGTGATGTTCGTCTAATCACGTGCAATAAAACAAAACGTTTCAAAGGAATTGCATATATCGAATTCAAAAATTCCGAATCGGTGGCATTGGTGAGTGAATCGAATCAAAATTCCTTTGGTACACCATTATTTATAAATGTTATTTTTTCCAGGCACTTGGTTTGAATGGTCAAAAATTGCTTGGTATTCCGATTAGTGTGCAACACACGCAAGCGGAAAAGAATCGAATTCAAAATGCACCACCAGTCCCACAACCACAGAAGAATCCATCGGGACCAATGCGACTGTATGTCGGCTCATTACATTTTAACATAACCGAAGATATGCTGCGTGGCATTTTTGAGCCATTCGGTAAAATTGATAGCATTCAATTGATTATGGATTCGGAAACAGGTCGTTCAAAGGGATACGGTTTCATAACGGTAATTAATACTCATACGATGCATTTTGATTTTTAACTAACGTTTTTTTTATAAAATTCAATTTCAGTTCCACAATGCAGAAGATGCGAAAAAGGCGTTAGAACAGTTGAATGGATTTGAATTGGCCGGTCGACCTATGAAAGTTGGTAATGTAACCGAACGATTGGATGTGAATACAACCGCTTCGCTGGATACGGACGAAATGGATCGTTCTGGCATCGATTTGGGCGTTACCGGTCGTTTGCAATTGATGTTTAAATTGGCAGAAGGTGCTGGACTTGATGTACCACAAGCTGCCGCAAATGCTTTACTTGCCACTGCACCTCAACCTCAGATTCAACCACAAATTGCACCACCAATTGCAACGCAATGCTTTTTGCTATCGAACATGTTTGATCCGATAACCGAAACAAATCCATTGTGGGACATTGAAATACGCGACGAAGTAGTTGAGGAATGCCAAAAACACGGTGGCATTCTGCATGTATATGTTGATAAAGCATCACAAGGAAATGTGTATGTCAAGTGTCCGAGCATAGCAACAGCTGTACTAGCTGTGAACGCACTTCATGGTCGATGGTTTGCGGGACGTGTTATTACAGCCGCTTATGTACCACTATTGAATTATCACGCACTATTTCCAGATGCAGCCACAGCCGCTAATTTGCTTCAAACATCGGCAAAGGAATAAATTTAAAAGAAACACACACACACACCCCCACACCCACACATATTCCAGAATATCGTTTATTCTAGCGTTCGGATTTTTTTTTCCTTTCTGTTATGGATCATTTTTAATCGATGGCCACTTTGGTTGTTCTATGTAGTTACTGTGCATAGATATAAGCATTTTACATAAATAAGTTTTAATTAGTGAGGAACATATTACTCTGCTTCGGTAAATTGGCATAAATTTTGACACAATTGGAATTTCGAAATTTCAACGACACAAGGATAAGATACGAAAATGAAAAAAATAGGAAGCTTTTTAAAGCGATATCTATAACTCAACTATCAAAGTCAAAATTTATTCAAAATCACAGAATAGTACGTGATTTACCATCAATGACTGAATAAATTCGAACGATGTGCTAATTGCAACTATTATTGATAGAGTGGTGTTCAATCACAGTATATACCATCAAAATAATGGCACAACACATGAATGTCTGCGCTCATTGATGATTTCAATTGCACTCTATTCAAAATTCCATCAAATTTGCATTGATTCATAATATTTTATGAATGATTCAAAAACACACAATAATAAATGGTAGGGTTAAGGAAATGTTCAGTTCAACAATAATTTTATTTTTCCTCTTAATTTGTAAAAAAAAGCAAACAACATAAACACCTTTGAAGTAAAATTTAATGTCTTTTTCTGTTGGTTAAACGATTTAGTATTCTTATGGTTTTTTAGGCGGTTTAACGGATAGAATTCCTTTATTTCTCAAATATCGAACGATAAATGGAGCCGAAACTAATGTTATGCTGATGCGAAACGGAGCAAACACCTTATGAATTGCATAGGCCACCACAAATGTACTGGCACCGGATGTTAGATTGTTTGATATTGTCGAACTCGTTGAACTCAATCCCAAATAATCCATAATTGCCACCATATCTAATCCACTGCAATGAATAAAATAAAAATAAAAAGTGAAAAGTTAATTGAAGTCATGTACAATGTATCTCTTGGCAACTTCTAAATCATATCATGTGTCATCCACATGCAACTTATTTAGAAATTATCACGTCATATTCAACAAAATATGCAACTCAATCACAAATGCACTGCACGTGTGTTTTCCATCACCGGATAAATTAATAACTGTCAGACAATTTATTGCAATCATCCAATTGGAGAAAATGCATAATGTGGATGCGGTGCTAGTCATTTGCTTACAATGTTCTTTTCATACCTGTTAACAAGTTGATAAAATATTCCGAGTGAAACGAGCGAGATTGCAACATGAAATACAAATACAGTCGAACCATAATCTCTGATGGCATTTTTCAATTTGGCTCTAGGTGTTAGTGCAACCACTTCAGTTTGTTCACTTTCATCCTTTGGTTTGGACTCATCGTTCGCATTTGATTTGGCTACATCTTTTTTATCAGAGAACATTCGACAGCTGACATTATGTGATGATGCATTCAAATGGTAAAACATTGGTGATTGATTGACAGAGGTAAGACAGGCAAACGACGATTTCATAGCATTCGATCTCATCAATTCCATCCACATTGATGAATTTCCATGCATGCAAGCATTATTTTTAAGTACATTCATACCTTTTTCGTTGATTGTGTTGGCCTCTTTTTCGTCATGTGACATATTCTTACGAACCTCACGACGCAAAGTGGTATAATGCGATGAATGAAAATCATGCGACATCCATTTGCTGCTTTGTGACCATTGTCCGCCTGGCATATTTAGATGCGTATAATTGTGCATACCACCAAATGGACTGGGCACATTCGACTGCATTGATGAATTCAAACTTACGGCACCAGTACAATCGTACGAATTAACGTGTGGATCGTCGTTCGATTTGGCATAATTCGATGAATCAATGGTTATATCAATGGAACGTGCATTCCATATATTTGTGGCAATCGCATTCGATGTTATATCGCGGGCACGTTGCGGTGAAAATTTCATCGACTCCGATGGATCGATATTAAGTGGCAACGGTAGTGGTTCGGCCATCGGATAATTTTGTTTCACCGACAAATGAATTCCTTGCGAATTTGATGAAGATGGCTTTATCGTTTCTAAATCAAAATGGAAGAAAAAACACATTTTATACACCGTGGAACGATATCGACGGGAAAAAAAATCTCACTTACTGTTCACTATTGAACTTGAGTACAATTTCGAATTGATCAAGCCATTGGAGGTGAGAGGTTTTCTCAAACTTTGCCAATATGATGCCATTTTCATTTGATTCGTTCACTGTGTCGATCGTTGAATGACTGACCAACAGAATGACTGGGACTATTCACAAAAGTACTATCGAGCCAAATATGTTTTGTATACGTAAACAACTGAAAAGAAGAAATAAAAAAAAACAAAGACAAAGTTGTTAATTGAATGATTCTCGCTCATACGATACATAGTACGTCGCATTGTAGTCGCCATAATGTCATTGACGTTAATAGTTCGTAAACACACATTTTATTCTGTCTTTCTCTTTCAATTGAATAAAAGACCAATTTAAAATTGTACACGATTAAATTCACGTTTCCTTTCATATGCTTACACACAGTATAGCTTGATGTTTTGCATGTACTCTTACCAATTTCGCTTAAGACATTTGCCAAAAATAGTAAATGAAATTTGGACTTTTCTAATCAAAACAGATTTTAAACGGATAAACAACAATCTAGTTTAAACTGGACCTTTGCAAATATTCGACACTGAAACTGATGCATAAACACATTAAAATCATTTAAAAAGCAACGTTCTGAAATAGCTTTAAAGAGATAAAATGAATTTTGTATTCGCAATGAAGCTAGCAATGAAGTCTTTAAGAAGAAATAGAAATAAAATGGCATTCATTGTGCTACCAGAGCTGCAACATTGTGATACTTTGTTGCAAATTGCATTTGAATATATTGGATAATATGCAGTGTGCATATCAATTGGAACCAATTAACAATGATGTGCTTCTAATTTTCTACATCGTCAAGTTCAAATACACTGGACACAATTTTCCGACACATTTAACCGTTTTATTCACAGTAAAATGTTCCGCAAATCAACAATTTGATGAGAAATTCTAACAACTTACCCAGCTAATAAGGATTTACACATTTGCCTAAATTGACAGGTATATACAATAAAAAAATGTAATCTACTGTCAAACTCAAGCCGCAAACGTCATCAACAAATACAAATAAAAACATACGTTGAACTCTGTCAAAAAAATCATCGGGAATGTAAACAAAGTTTATTTCTCGAAAAGAAAAATTTAGTGTTTTTCCTAGTTTTATTTCTTTTATTGCCTTTTCTGATGTCAATTTATGCACAATTCATTATATAAGTTTTGTTGTTCTTGGATTTAATTATGTGGTGATAAAAAAAATATTATTACTATTTTTTTTTCTTACAAATATTTTCCGTTATTGCATTTCTTAAAAAATCCTTATTTTTATAATCCGTAAATCGCAATTATTAAAAATGTATTTGCGGTGGCTAAACTGTTTTCGTATACTTTTGACGTCAACTTTGATTTGAAAATTGTTTCTCAAATAAAATTAGTAATAATAAGTAAAGTAAACACTTTTCAAACATCGTATACTTGTTTTCAAATATCAATTTATGATAGCACTAATTGAAGAAAGAGAAAAATGGTTAAAGAAGAATATAAATCGAAAACACAATTTCATGACGGCGTTTGGTTGAAAAACAGAAATTAACGCAATGGTCTAATAAACGGTTTGTGTATGAAACAAAATATTTACCTGAGTTTACCCATTAAAATGCTACCTAATAATATTGTGTAAATATGTGTGTTGGTAATCGTATGCTTAACTTTGAACTAAATGGTTTTTTATTTCACGCTGAATTGTGTGATATCGAGTTATCCGCTTTAATTTATGGGCTGTTATAGTCATAGAACGGGGATGCGCTAGCTGCTTTTTTCGCGGCGTACCTGTTTGCCTCCTCTTGCGCTTTTCCAATGTTCTTCTTATAACGAATACGTTTGTTGCCGAACCAGTTGCAAACTTGAGACACCTGAACGAAAAACATAAAAAAATAATGAGATTTTTCCATTTAATTTCCAAGACCTTTACGATTCCAATCCATATCGGCCATTTAGCCACTAAACCTTTAAATGCATTAACACATTCAATTTAAAGAGATGAAAGGTAATTTCCTCGACATTGGATGACTTACCGTAATACCACATTTGCGTGCCAGTTCTTCTTTGGCCTCTTCAGAAGGATATGGATTACTTAAGTGACTGTAAAAGTATTCGTTTAATATTTCTGCTGATTGTTTGCTGAAATTGCGCCGTTTTCGACGTGCATCCAAAAAGCGTGAGCGCAGTAGCATGACCGCCTCACATGTCGATTGTTTCAACTGCATTTGAATAAGATCGAATTTCTTGTGAATGATCTGAACCATACGCTCGATTTCTTTTGGAGTAATTGGTCTATCGATAGAAAAGTATTAGAATCATATCGCCTCAATTGAGGTATGGACATAATCATAAAGTACCTGGTACGACTTTGTTCACGAAGCAAATTCATCACATGAGTTGTAAATTCACTGCACGCATGTTCATATTTTTCCCATTCTTGATGGTAAATTAGTCGAATTTGTGCCAATTTAGCCCGATAATCCGAATGTTCGATTGCATTATCGGAGCCATCCAAAGAGTATGACGAACCTTGACTCGCTGCTGCTGCTGAAGCAGACGCATTTGCACCACCACCTTTTTCGGGACCAGCAATACCTTCAGCAATCAACATATTGTCCAAACGTAAGATATCTGTATCTGGCGGATCCAATTCTTGTGTATTACGCAGTGATAGTACTATAAAAACATTTTCAACATATCAATAGTAATATAATTGTTTCCGAGTGCAAATAGATCCGTAATTACCAGACTTATCCTTAACGTCGCATAGAACCTCAAACAATGCCTGCTTCATTCGATGACAGTTCAAAGTATGTTTTCGAGCTTGTGCTTCGTCCAACGATTGCTCAGTGATGATCATAATTTGATGCAGAATCTCGCCGATATCTTTGCGATGATGGGTTTCATTTTCACCAACTTCATTTGGATTTGGCATTCCATAACTCGGCATCGGCATACCATGGCCCATCATATGATTCGGATCGTTGTCCATTTTTAACCTTAACCTTCGATCTCAAATTGCAATTTATAGATATTTCTCTGTTTAATTGACAAAAAATTGAAATAAAAAAAAAACTTAGCGAACAATTGGATTTGGTTGAAAAAAATTAGAAACTTGATCTTCAATGGCAATTAAACAAAAGGCATTGAAAACAGAAAGGCGACAAAAAAAAATTATATTCAAGCCGGACTTCATGGGGGTTTGTTTGTTACGTTTTGCTCTCTCTCTCTCTATACATAAATTACTTTTTGCACATATGTAAATTTTCTTTGTTCTTGTTGTTTGCCAATTTTGTTTATTGTTTTGCTGAGAAAGTCACTAAGAAGATTACCATTGCCAAATAATCGAAGTCGAATTATACAAAATATATTGAACTCGAACAAAATGTATTTAAAAAATAAGTTCTGTTGAAAAATATAACTAAAGTCTAAAAAATATGAAAAAGTTGCATTTAGTCTTCTTTGATAAAATACATATGCCACAACTTGATGTCTAGCTTAAAGTAAACCTGTATGAAATACCATTTACCCTCTGATTTGAGTGCGTTTGATTTGATAGTTTTGTGAGGAACAATTTACAAACTCAAATTATGTTTGCTACATTCATTCGTTTAATCAACTTTATTCACTGGTATATGTATACAGTTTCTCAAAACAAGCAAACAAAATTTACAAAAATTCTTTGTTGTTGATACACTTACAGTAACCACGCACTCAGTACGGAACGAAGAAAAATGTCCACTTGACAATAATCGAACAGTTGAAGGCGCTTCTATTTCGTATACACTTTTCAATTTGCACAATAAATAAGAGCGCACAAATTAGTTAATCATCCGAAAAAGTCTTTAATTACTTTCTGGATAAAAAAATAATAATTTCTAAACTAAAAATGACACAAGCAACACCCATTTGCACAACAACAGCGGCGGCTGTCATCTATTGCTTGTATTCAAAAGATTTATACGAGTTCTCTTTTGTTTTGTTCTCCCTACAGAAGATGAATACGCATCATCGTACCATTGTCGTCTCTTTTACGTACAAAAATTGACATGGGCTCGTAAGTGAGACGAATATAGTGGGCAAGCATACATGCAATGGGTGCGTCTAACGAAAGCGGTCCGCTTCGCTCCTTCTTACACTAAGGTAACGCGTCTTAACACTGTTCATCGTGCTTCTACCAATCTACCATATAATAGTTTCAAATGTGAAATATGTTGAAAACTGGCCAATCTATCCATTTTGAATGCTTTTTTTGTACTGAGCAAAGTGATGATAGTTGATTCTTAAAATGAATAAACAAAATGTAAAATTGGTAATATTTGATGAATGTTTTAACACTATTTTATGTCAGCAAAACGCTTTGGACTATTGGCCGATCATCACAACAGTCTCTGGTTTCTCAGAGCAATATATATAAGGAGGAGCATATATATTGCCATGAGGAAGAGTCTTTGGTTAAAACATGATCCATTGACTGAATAATAGAAAGAGCAGCACATACAAGAAAAGTGCCCACACTATACTTTAGAACAAAATAAGAGCAAATTTGACTTTTTTCTTCTTACTACGCCTTGATATCAACATATGATTGTAAGCATTCATCGAAAAAGTTCTCCTTTTTCGAGAACAAGTCATGTGTCTTGCATGTAACTCATTTTGTCATTCTTCTGGTATTTTGTTAACGTGTATGTATGATCTCAACCCCCATCGAATAACTATATTTTTTATGCGGTGCATGCCTTATATATGCTTATGTTTAGTCATCGACAACCTCAACTAGGGCTGTCGGATTTTGTTTCTCTCTGAGATTTTTCTTTTTGTCTACAACACATTCAATCTTGTTCATTATTTAACGGAAGTTATTTGGTTCATTTTATTCAATATTAGTCGCTTGCCAACTTCCATTGGTTTTTAGTTTGAAAATTTCAAAATGCGATAAACGTGAAAGGTGTTTACTGTTAAGATGACAATAACAAAGTCATTCTCACCATTGAAAATGATTTTTTTTGTTTTAATTATTCCGATTGAAGAGAAATCTGTGAATTGAACAGTATTGACTGCGGCGTATGATAAGATAAGACCGTTACCAATACTTCGTGATTCGTCTCATATACAATCATTGTCCAATTTTAAAAAAAATCTTAGAGTCTAAGGTCGTGAATAAGAAAATCCGAAAACACGTACAACATCAACAAATTCAATAGTATTCAATATTAGCTAAGCATTTTGGCAGGGAACTTTCTTCGGAGACGAAAATATTGCTGTCACAGAGGTTATCTAATCGCCCCATGTAGATTATGCCTTTTAAAAATCGACATTCTCGGTGTCTTATTTACGCAAAATGAAACGCTTTGAATCAGAATAACAAGTGAAGTCATTGCAAGAAGTTCAAAACGTATTTTGGAGGAAAAAATGTGGAAAATTTTAAGCATTGGATTATTATTGGTGGCACTTAGCGCATCAGGAAAGGTAGTGCCGGGTAAAATAATTGGCCCAATTGGAGATATATCACCAACTGAATGGCCGGTTTTTGGAAGTTATTTTGTTAATAAATACGCAAAACTTGCTCGCGAAATTGTTCACAAGTCAAGTGAGTAGAATGACGCGTTTTTTTAAATAATCGATGATAAGACTTGAATTGCATATAATATAAATAATTGCATATATAGATACTTCAATGTTGGGTACGATTGCTGTGCAAAAGCCACTCAAAGGCTATCCAATGATTGATTTGATACAAGTGGCCGATAGCAAATGGAATGAAACGTCAACGGGTTTTGTAAATTTCTATTTACAAAAAAGTGATCCAATCTATGAAAATATCAAGAAGAAGAAAGAAGTAAGCGCCTCATTCTCAAACGAAACAACACAATTCAACAATGAAACATCGCAAATGGAAACTGTTGGTTATCGTGTTCTGGTCACCGGCTATGTGGTTCAAGTAATAAAATTCTTTTTTTTTCGCTTCTATCTGTTTAGATGAATCCATGCTATCATAAATTTTAGTACATTGTGTGACATTCATTAAGTGTCGACACAGTAGAGTCGTAGATTTCTCAATTTAGACATTCAAAATATTAAAATAGAAAGTGAATCGGCAGTCGCTCGCATGGATTCTTCGAAGCTGATAGATATTACCCGATAGAAATCATCATGAAAACCTCTTCACAGATTCCAGCCGACACAATGATGTTCAATGACACCAACGATGCCATACTCGATCGTCATCCGGATGCAGCTCCGGTTTTATCTCGACTGAATACAATTTTGGTGAGACTTGAAATCGATCAGGTTTGTGTGATCGACGACGTTAGCGGACCATTTTGTTTGCCCGCAGATAGCTATTACAACGCCGATGTTGATGAATAAAACGAACCTCCAATGAATCATCGATGCAGCATTTTGTAATCAAATGTCATTGTGGTTATCTTTGAAAAGCCTTCAATTGCTTTTTGAAAATAAAAACCGATTTTTTTTTTCACTTAATGCTAACAGCTTATTTTTTCACTTTTATTGAGAAAAATAATAAACAAATTTGTCAATTGATAATTTCTATTTAGGTTATTATTATGCTGGGCTTATTTCGAAATTAAAAAATAGTTTTGAGCTTTAATGTGTTTTTTTTCCTATCTCTTTTGTTTTCTTTCAAGAAGTAATCTTCGTGCTTCTTCCACACAATTGTGGACGTTCCCCAAGTCTCGATGTTCCAATGCCATGTTTAGATTATCCCTAGCGGCTTAATTCAAAATTTTCAACGACTGAATTCTATTATAATATCTAAATTAACTGAATTTTTCTGCAAACGAATGAATTCCGGTGAATTCTACGGCGATTTCATTCAAATATGTGAGATAGTGGTGAATAGTTTCTGCTGGCAATTACTGCAATATTTATATTTTGTGTAACAAAATTGTGAATGTTTTTTATATTTTTTTAATAAAAATAAATTTTATTTTCAATTTTGAGCGGTTTTCTATCGAAAACAATCGGAAATATTGAAAAAATAATAAATTAAAAAATATTGCGGAATCATAACCTCACTTTATTAATTTGACACATTTCATTCTATTCACACGAATTCACCGAACTCATCAATAACCACTCGATTCAAAAATGTGAATTTACGTGAATTTCTGTGAATTTTTTTGCCGTATTAAGCCCCTAGGACTTTTTGGGCTCGCCATGAAATTTCTTCAGAGAACGAAATGAAATGAACGAGTCTCCGTTGGTCGATTCTCCACCTCTTTTTCAATGTCGGCTTTAATGGCGACCGATGCGTAAAATGTTGATTTTTCACGATAGACGTCGCACTGCAGCGGTGTTACCCATTGTTATCTCTTGTGAAATAAAATTAGAGCCAAGGTAAGGTTGAATTTTTTTTCTTGATCAAATTAATGTATTTGACAAATCCGTCAAATCGTTGAAAATAATTAAAAATTCAGTGTGACAATGTGTTTCATGCAAAAATAAAAGTGAACAATATTAATTTTCGCCAAAAAAAGTGAATTTGTAGAAAAAAAGTCTTAAATACTATGATGTACGGTGTTCATGCCTGAGTGTTGTGCTTTGACTGTTTTAGCGTTGATATTTTTTGTTCAGCCATCGAATCAATTTGATTAAATCGTTTATCTAATGAATTTGTTTCGATTTTCTTTCTTTCATTATGATTGGATAGCATTCATATTGTGACGTATTTTTTTCAATCTCAAATGGAATTTGATGGTCAATTCATGCAGGCGTTTCAACGTCACGACAAGAATGCCGATGGCTATATCACAGCGATTGAATTAGTAAAACTTTTTAAAGATTTGGGAAAACCTGTTGATTTGGATCAGCTGGAAACTGCATTCCAAAACACTGGAAATAATGGTAAGAGAATTGAACTAAATGCATTTTTCCGTGTGTTACAATACATATTTAATGAAAATTAATCACCACAGATATATTTTTCTGTGTCTGTCCTTGTTTTTATTTATCTTATAATCATTCGTTTTTTCTTCAAACAGATATTGGACCATACAGTATTGAACAATCTCGCAGTATTTACAATTATGTATTAAACCATGATGATGTTTCCATGGCGAGCCCAAAAGGTAGCCCGATGTCAGATATTTCCGAACCATCGTCCCTAATATTGGATAATCTAAACATGGCATTGGAACATCGAGACTTGGAAAACATCCACAGTTGTGTGGAAGAAGCACGAAGATTACTTCTTAAAAAAAACAAAAGAGATAGGTGTAAAAAAAAAAAAAACCAATCGCTCCTTTTCAAAGCACTAAACAACCATTTTAATAAAAAAATATAACAATCAGAATTAACAAACAAGAAAAATGTTTAGTTTTATTTTTTAACCCTCCTAGGTATAGAGTAAAAAAAACTTGAACTGATAGAGGCAGTCATACAAAATGTATGAAAAGTCTATGGAATGAACAAAATATCCATGCTATCATAAATATTAGTACATTGTGTGACATTCATTAAGTGTCGACACTGTAGAGTCGTAGATTTCTCAATTTAGACATTCAAAATATTAAAATAGAAAGTGAATCGGCAGTCGATCGCATGGATTCTTCGAAGCTGATGGATATTACCCGATAGAAATCATCATGAAAACCTCTTTACACATTCCAGCCGACACAATGATGTTCAATGACACCAACGATGCCATACTCGATCGTCATCCGGATGCAGCTCCGGTTTTATCTCGACTGAATACAATTTTGGTGAGACTTGAAATCGATCAGGTTGGTGTGATTGACGACGTTAGTGGACCATTTTGCTTGCCCGCAGATAGCTATTACAATGCCGATGTTGATGAATAAAACGAACCTCCAATGAAATAATCGATGCAGCATTTTGTAATCAAATGTCATTGTGGTTATCTTTGAAAAGCCTTCAATTGCTTTTTGGAAATAAAAACAGATTTTTTTTTTCACTTAATGCTAACAGCTTATTTTTTCACTTTTATTGAGAAAAATAATAAACAAATTTGTCAATTGATAATTTCTATTTATGTTATTATTATGCTGGGCTTATTTCGAAATTAAAAAAAAAGAATTGTTTATTGGGGGCACAAATATGGGAAAACGAACCAATCTGTTTCTCTGTCATTTGATCGCACAAAAAAAGGTTTGATTTTTCTGGGGTTGAAATTAAAAAAATATGATATCATTGCAAATAACTAAAATCTTTTTTTATATGACTAATTACAAATACCATTCGATCTTTCTTTAGATTTGAATGCTTAAGAATGAGATTAAAATTTGTGTTTTTTTTTACCTTTTTAATTTTAAATTGACAAAAACATAGTGAATTTATTTTATTATTAATATGTATGTTTATGCAGAAAAAAATATGATATCTAGAGCAAATACATGCCAATACAAGCGAATTGTATTTTTGTTTTTCTCATAGTTGTTAAATTAGTGGTATTTTTTCAGCAATATCTATTCTGTCTATATTTAAATAATGAACGTCGTTTTTGTTCCGTCTAAATGATGTTCTATGTTATGCATTCTAGTCTGAAACTTGCAATTATTATAATTTTGTTTAAATAATGTTTATTCTTTTGAATTCCTGTCAAAGAGAGTTAGAAATTTGGTGCTATAATGTTGCCGACAAATTACGCCCTTTTTTGTGTCACATTCAAATAGGTGTCGGGGTGGCTGCTGCTGCTGCCGGCGGTGGTGCTTCCGCTGTCGGAGCACTTGCTGGTTGTTCTGTGGGTACTGTTACATTTTGTGACGGTGCTACGGATACCGTTTGTGGCTGTTGTTGTGCTGGAATTGGCTGAGGTGCTTCACTAGGTTGCGTTGTCGGTGGAACTGCAAGAAAATTATCATTTTTATATTTTTTCATATTATTTGATTCTCATTATAATTTGTTCTTATTGTCTGTGTTAATTACCTGCGTTCACTGGGCTTGGATTGATTGGTTGCTGTGGAATTGGTATAGACGGTGGAATATGTGGTCCATTCACATTCGGATGTAATGGATGCGTTACTGGCGGAACATTGGTAGCATTTGCATTTGCTGGTGGTTGCCATTGTCCCTGTTGCTCTTGTTGTAATCGATGCTGTGCATTTTGTCGTGCCCGAAATTCGGCCGCTTTCAATTGTTCCAAATGGAATTGTTGGCGCTCTGTAATCAATTGTTGTCGTTGATATTCGAGACCTTCTCTTTCTCTTTCCATCGTTGTTTCCAATTCTTCAAAGTGGCGCAATTTGATTTCCTGAAGAAAAAAATTGATTGATTTTAAAATATACACTCAAATTGGTTTTATTGTAGCACATCAAGTTGTGTACTTACGAGTTTCTTCATTTGTGTTTCCACCAGTAATGCAACCAAACTCTTAATTTTACGCTCTTCAAGTGCTGACATGTGTTTTGCTTTAACAGCGGCTGATGCGAGAGCGGCCGCAGCGGCACGCTGTAAATCGGTTTCGTTGAATAGTTTATGGGTTTCGTCTGAATCTTTGTCACTTCCATTCACTGTTGCTCCATTTTCGATGGCCATTTCGTTGGTTTTGGCATCGCCTGACTTATCTGATGTATCCATTTTATTTGATTCATTTGCTGGAACATTAGTAGAAGAAGAATCATTCGATTTATTCTCATCGATAGCCGGTTTTTCCGACTCTTTATCTTTATCCGTCTCTTTTTCATTCTCTTTTTCCTTATCAGTGTTTTTACAATCTTTTTCTTTTTCACCACTCTCTTTCTCTTTATCTACGTTTCATCAACATCATACGATTTATTTATAAAATGGATAAAGATGCACCAAATCATAAGCATAATGAAGAAGTCAAAATCGAATACAAATGAAACGAAACGAAAAGAAAAGATAAACAAAAACAGTTACAAAAAAGTCATTCACAACTGAAATTGAAATATTTATATATGTACGGAAATAATATCATGCAATATAGTAGAAAACCAATTGCTACTGCCAAATGCTACACCATATATAGCGCTACATGTTTTTTGAATTTTGTGTAACTTACCGCCGTCCTTCTTTGAAACATCTTTCATTTCTTCGTCATTATTTTTGTTCTCTTCGTCTTCCTTTTCCGGTGCTGTACCAGCAATTCCACTGTTTGCCAGTCCCGCGGTCGGATCAAATCTTCCATTGACTATTGATTTTTCGACATTTTTATAGTGAGCATAGTAAACGTTTGGTGGAACTTCCTCCTAAAAAAAAGATCATTTATTTCAATCATAATGAGTTGAATAGAATAAAACGGTTAAACAATTTTTACCTTAATCAATGCAAATTCTTCCATGGCCGCTTTGGCAGCGGCAGCTGCAATTCTTGGATCAACAATCGATGATAAAAATGCGACAGTCGACATAATTGGATTGCCCGATTTGCTGAATGGAATGGGTTGATAGGCAAGCGGTCCAAGGAAACCACAATCATCCTCAAGGTATGGATCTTCGATTGGCAATCTCAAAAAGTGTAAAATACATTCATCTTGTGTGCGTGTACCGACATGTTCGCAAATCTTATTCCAGTCATCGCGAAAGAGTTCCAATCCTTCAAGCAATTGAAATGTTTCTTGTTCGGTCCATTCGCGTGCCATACTGGCAGCATTTTTGTTTCGCATTGCGATCGGTTTCTTTGCATACTGATCCATTCGTAAGCCGAAATGTGCGCCCGGTTCAATGGAAATCTCTGGTTTTATTGGTACCTGACCGACAGCGATGGCGGCCGCACTTGGTGGCGCTATACCGGCCACAGGTGCTGCATTTACAGCAATGCTCGATGCTACCGATGCTGGTGCAGCCGAAGCAATTTGTCCATCAACGGTGACTTGTACTTCCTTCTCTTTTTTAACTTTGTCCAAATCGAATAATGTTTTGGCCGCTGATGGTTGAGTTGTTTTCGGTGGATTCAATGGTTGTAAACCGGATGGTGTGTCGCTTAGCACATGGAAATGTGATGTGGGCGGTGGTCCCATTGGCGATGGACGTGCATCAACGTCAATTTGATAGTTAACCAAACCCCATTGCTCCAAGAATGCATGCACTCGCATAATAGCGCACACATCACCGGCCAAATTACGACGACATGCTGTGCTTGTTAAGTATTCCGTTGGATTCAAACGGTATGTGTCAATCATGAAGTTTCGATAAGCCATATAAATTTCCGGTGTTTTCGATTTATTTTTGGCGTTGAAAAATTCTGGCATTGCTCGCTTTTCAATGACATGAATGGAATTGTAGTCAAACCATGCCGAATACGATGGCACAATGATGTGATGAGTTTGTTCGGTAACATTGTCTTCCAAATCATCACGATTGCTTGGAAACTCTTGAGTGTTACTATTTTCGCTTGTCTTACCGGTTTGAGAGTCTTCTCCACCGCCGCTCACATTGTTTTGAGTACCTGAACCACCACTTCTTTCGGCCTCTTCATCCAAATCAGCAACCACACTTCCTTTCAGTGGTAGCATGTCACTGTCAATACCACGTTGTTTACTATTCGATTGTGTGGCTGGACTGTTTGTCGATGGTTTTGTAATCACTTCCGTGATATTTGTCTCTGGTTGTGGATCATCCATGTCCCGTGTTAAATCCTCTTCATCTTCAATTTCGAGATTACCACGTGCTTTCTTTTGAACGACGGCTGGAGAACGACCAGATTTACGTTTGCCCACACCTTTTGCTGGTGGTGATGGTGATCGTTTTCGCTTTTGCTTTCCTGCTACTTTAACCGTGCGTTTCTCATCGTTTTGCAATAAATCGTCCACGGTTAGTCTGTGACGATGCATCACTTTCTTACCACTTTCGTCCACCTCATAATCTTCTTCTGCCATCCATTCATTGTACTCTTGTGAATGCAATACCCATTGAGCGGTTACACGCCAAGTGTTTGATGGTGTATTGATAGACTCAGGAACATCTTCCTAAAATGTGAAATAACAATCAAAATAAATAAACAATCACAGGAACATCGAATCAATGTGGCATTTTAAATGACACCAAATACTTACCGGCAATTCAAATGTGTTTGCCACCCATGAATCATATGATTCTGGTAAATAATACCAATGAATCATGACGTTTTTTCCGCGTTTAAACGATGGTCTAGCATAATCGTCTGGTAATGGATCCAATTCGGGATAAATGATATGCGATGCCTGATCTTCATCTTCAGTGATTTCACATTGGCGCTCTTTCAGTATCTCAGTTATTTGCTCGCGTAATTCTTCTTCGACTTCAGGTCGAATGTATGCAGTTGGCAAACGGAAACATTCTTGATCAATAAGATTTTCCAAAATTTCTGTCGCCATTTGAATGTTCGGATCTTTATCTTTGCGCGCTGTTTTCGTCACATTAAATTCGAATTTTCTCCAACGTTGATCGGCTTTGTAGCGATACATATTCGAAAATATGTGACACAAACTGCCACCGGGCTTGAAATCCAAAAAACATCGCATCGGTAAACGCATTGTCGGTGGTTCTGATGCACCTTTTCCGAATCGTGTCTCTTGAAATTGGATGAACGAAATCAACAATTGTGACAATGACTCCTTTGTCGGTGGATCTGATTGTACGTACTGTAATTGCATTGAGACCACATTAAAATTCATCATTTGTATATGTCATGGAAAATTCGATGTGAAAAATTTGTAATTTTTACGAGAAAAAAAATGTATATTGCATTTGTTTTCACATAATGAATGTTTTTTTTTTTTTGTTTCGTTTTCAATATGGTTGGTTAATGAAAAGTTGTTTTTGTATGCAACTCTGTATAGATGATGTGCGGTGTATTGGGGAATGGCGGATAACCCGCCTTATTCTACTTACCTTTTTACAATTTTTCGTAAGCCATTGTCGCACTTGCTCAAATCCTTGCATCGATTCGGGTGATTGAAAATAGTCCGCATTTGGACCTCCATCCTTTTTCGGTCCTAAAAGTGCCATTTTTCACCCAATTTTTAATCACCAAATACAATTTTCTTTCACTTATATACTCGAGTCACTTTAATATCACACACAACGCCGAATGAAACACAGACGCTTGTTTTTTTCTATTTGAATGGCATACAAAAGACAAAAATGGCGGACATGTGTCAAATCCATGTAATTGCCACCAGATGACATTTCGGTCAAAAGGCTTTTCGGAATTTGAGGCTATGCCATATTAATACAAATAAAAAGCCTATAAACATTTTTTTCATGATTTTTATTGTTTGTTTTCAGTTTTTGTAATGTAATGCATTTAATGATAAATGTATTAAAACGTAATGTATTTTTGACGATTTTGTATACCATAACGATCTTGTCCACAATTCAAGCATCTGTATTTATTTAACACACCATTTATCGATGCAAATGGTTTTAAAAGTGTGAACAAGAGCCTACAAAATCTTGAGAGTCTAACTTTTATTCTAAAGTCAATGGAGAATTGATGCGTTTTAGAAATTAAAAAGGATTTTGTTTCACTTTTCGTCAAAAATACCATATCCATTACCATTTGTGGCCGACAATGATAACGAATACCCATTTATTCTGAGCAAATCCATAGACGTTTCATTTTCATATCATTTTTGCATGAAAACAAACAAAATATTATGCAAATATAATGTTTAATATTTTGAATGGATACGGCACTGTTAATTGAATGAATTTTATTTCCCCCGTAGTTTAAGACAAATTTCCATGTTCAAAACATTTTGTATTCAGAAAATAAATAAATAAATCAACTACCAAAGCAATTTATGATTTTTTTCTCTTTTATTTTTGGTCAGATATATGAATCGTTGCGGCGAAACAGTAGCTCTTATTTTTCTCCAAATAATACTGCAACATAAAGTTTTTTATGAATAGTTTATTTGTTGTATTACAACAAATAAACCGTGTGAAAAAAACTTCATGTTGCAGTATTATTTGGAGAAAAATAAGAGCTACTTTTTCGCCGCAACGATCCATATTGTCCTCATTGGATTTATAAAATACATGTATTTATGTGTTTGTAAAAAAAATACTCCAACTTTATAGATATTTTTGCATTAATAAGACTGATACTCTTGTAGCTCCATCTCTTTGTCTAAAATTTGGCCCAGAATATTATCAAGTGCGTCCTGCATCCGTGCGCGCAACGTTTCATTTTCAATTGAAGAAATTTCTTGTTCTTTGGCAATACGTTGATCTCGTAAATCGTCCAATTGACGACGTAAGTCAGAAATTTTGCTTTGTATTTCATTTTGGCTCATTTGTGGAATATTGAATTCATTGTCATCGGTTTCAGTGTGATCGTCAAAGTATTGGCGACTGGTTGTAGCAGACGGTGAGTTTGGTAGATCCATGCTATCGCTTGTTTGACGCAATCGTGACGGACTGCGATTAAACATTTGCTTATTGAATTCAGTGGCCATTGAACTGCTCGGCATCGAACTGGAGAAATTTGATCGACTATCGTCGGCGGACAATCGCGTCGTTTCATCAACATCAACATTTATATTATTATCCTCATCGTCTGACGATGATAAATCTTCGCCAAAAATATCAATATCACGTGGAATAACATCCAAACTGTCTTCGATTGTTTTTTCTGTGTCTGTTTTTAAGTGTTTATCCAGTTCCGATGTGCTGGCACCATCCATGGCCACAGTTGATTGTGTATTTTCATCATTGCCCAACATCATATTTTGTTTGTTTGGATCTTCTTCCTCCAGTACAATGTCCCATTTTACCTGAACGGCTTCATTGTCGGCGCGTAACAATCGTTTTACTTCTTTTTCAATTTCCGGCGCTTCGGCACATTTCTTTCGCAATGTTTTACGAAAACGACGTTTGCGTACATTTTTACACGGTGGCGTCACTCCGTGGGGCCACAAAAACTTCTTATCAACTTTATTTGAATCTTTTTTCTTATTTTTTGCTGGCGATTCATCGTCGGTTGTTGGTGCATCTTTGTCATAATGTTCATACTTGCAGATTAACATTTGACAAACATCGGCAGTTTTGTAGAAATTTTTACTATCAATCGTTTTGAGTGATTCGGTAACTGTTGGTAAATCCACCAATTTTGTATACATTAACCAATGATCGAATCGAACTTCACCGTATCGCAAATCATGTTCCAATTTTACTTTCAAACGATCCTTTAAGTTCGGTCCACCTTCACGCAATGTTTCACGCAATATTTGGGCCGGTTCCATTGGCATTCGTAACACAACTTGTGTTTCCAGCTCAACGCCGTCATCGCGCTCAATTAATTTTGATTGTTTATCCGGCATTTCTTGAAAATTTTAAAAACAACAAACTAAAGTTTTTACTTATGCTCCGGTTGACACTTATCGCACATATGTCATTGTGGTGTCTCTAATGTAAGGTGAGGGTTTAGAGCTACCAACTGTTAAATGTTAAAATACTTTTTATAAGTTGGCACACACATTTTGACACATTTTATTCGTTATTTGAAAATCAAGTTTAAATTTTTCCTAGAGTTGTTATTATCGAAGATTCAAAAAAAAAAAAGAAATATGTATGAAGAAATTCATAATAACAATATAATAAAATTCAATGACATAACCTAAAAATATGTTTGAAAAAGACATAATGTGTATACGACCATGGAGACATCTGTTTTGACAGTTATCTGTTTTGACATTTATGTCATTTATATATTCCATTTGAATTAGATGACGAATAATGTATTGATTTTTCAAATTATGTCTTTTCAGTTCAAAAGTTGAATAAATAAGATGAATTTTTTAAAATCTCTGTACAATATTTTTTTTCGTGAAGACCAAAAAGTCGTTGTCGCAGATACGGCTATCGGTTTCTATTATCCAGCAAGAATAAGAGTAAGAGCATCGGATGAATATTTTTTGTTTATTTTTATTCAATGTATTCTGGTTTTTCTTTTTTGAATTTGTGTCTTTTCAGCCATCATCATCATATTCAATTCATTCCGTTTTCAAACAATTCGGTGAAATCAAAAATATGGTATTTTGAGCAACCATTGAAATTTACGACATTTATTGAGTTCAAAACACCTGAAGGAGCTAATGCTGCATATTTAAAACGTCATATTCAAATTGGGAGTCATACGATTATTGTACATCGAGTCAGGGAAACTTTCTTAAAAAAATATTCAGATAAAGTCAAAGGAAAAATTAATGATATATTGTTGCAACCACCAGGTGAACAATCACCGAAGAACATTCTCAATATTTTGAACGATGATTGCCTATATGAAATTTTTAAGAAAATTCCATCCTCGAACTATGGCTCAATTGCAAATGTATGTGTTCGATTTAATCGAATTTTAAGTGAAATGTTATCAAGAAAGTATAAAAAGAGTGCATTTAATATTAGTAGAATTGTGTATTTTGAATTATTTACACTATCAGAAGCAGAAGATTATTTACGAAATTTTGGCTCGTTGATTTATGTAGCTAGAATCGAGGGATGGATGTATAAACCACCATTCATAATCAAAACAGATTTAATTTGTAAAATGATTAGTGATCATTGCGAAAATCTTCGTAGTTTCATAATCACAGATTTTGTAATGTTGAACTGCATGGCTAATGAATTAATTCCATTATTTACGCGAATTGAACATTTAAATATAATCAAAACTTCATCAACAGACGAACCAATCCTCAATTTTCTCCCTGCAATCAATTGCCCGAAATTGATGACATTTAAATGGAATAATAGAAAATTCGGTCGGCTTGATGATATTCCCTCCGTCCATAAGTTTATATCTTACAATACACAATTGGAGAGTTTGGAGTATGGCTATCAGACTAACTCTCATTGGTTGGTGAATGTAGATTTTAGCAATTTGAAACACTTAAAAATGTTATCACTTTGGAATTACGAGTCAGAAGTTTGTGAAAAAAGTGCATTCTTTGAAATTACACATACATTGAAAGCATTATCATCAACGCATGCGCCAATAGAATGTTTGAAATTATACGATACATTGATTGATGATGATGCGATTGAGTATATTTCTAAAATAAAAACTATCAAAAAATTCGTATTCGATAGCAAACATTATTCTAAACATTGTTCACCTAGCCGTCATATTATTGAATCATATATAATTCGTCTTGAATCTGCTTTCCCACATCTTGAATTTCTTCAATTCCGAAGCAGTTTTCATTTTGATATAGTCTGCACAGATATTAATTGGTTAGAAAAACAGTTACAAGAATATTTGAATGTTATCGATTTGAATAAACGACAATTGGAATGCACTGCAAATACAATTACGAATAGAAAAAACTTAATTACAACTCAAAATATTTGTCTCGGATATTATGGGAAAATTACGGTAATAGTCAGCAAGGTAAAATCCTGTTTTTTTTTTATTAAGTGTCAATAACAAACATATTTTTTTTTCATAGTTTCCAGCTACTGATTCAAAGGTGCAACGCTACTGGCTCACATTGGTTTCTACTGAATCTATAATCCTGAATAATTTATTCCGTTACACGTTTCAGAGATAAAGAATGAGATCAAAATGTGTTGTATTTTTTTATACTTCTTCAATAATATCATATATGCTAATATAACTAAAGATATATTGCGTTATTCAGTTGTTATTGCAACAATAATAATATTAAAGTTCAAAGACAATAATAATATTGATCCCAATTAGGAACGATATGTTAAATAAACAATAAAAATATGATTTTTTTTACCAAATTATCAATTATCATAGAAAATCTTCGTGAATCAATTTCATCCTTGTTTTCTATCTCTTTCTTAATTCTGAGTTCTTCAAGCATTTTTTGTTTAGTAGGTAATTCAATTTCGCCGCTCCAGTATTTCAAACATAAATTAGCCTTAAAAGTTACCAAATGAATTAAATTATTTTGAATCAAAAGTGAGAGAATCGATATTTGCCAGTGCCCGATCATCATATAAACTTTGTAACCAAAAACACTGATGCGCCTCTAATGCGTATTCCGAGTAATAATCGTAATTTGTGACAATATGGCTGTCGCGGTTTGACAAAATCATAATATACTGATTAAGCAATTGAAACCGGTTGAAATAAAACAGTAGAAATGAACATAGTTTTATTTTATAAAAATAAAAAATGTTTTGTTTGTTTTTTAATTTTGTGAAATTTTTTGTCCACAATATTCAAAAATATTGAATTAATAAAAAATAAAGTGGTTTTCACAAAGTGACGTTATGTAAACCACTTTATTTTTTATTAATTTAATATTTAACTAAACCTGATTGGCGAAGACCTACGAGAATGACAATATCAAACAAGTGAGTGGCTGTTTTTTTGTATTTAAGCTATTTTAATAGTTCATTTTGTTTTTATTGGCAATATTTAAATTCACTCAAATTATAAAACTATTAACGACTATTTAATTTTAAATTTTAATTGAAAAAAATGTCATCAATATGGTGCCATCGAAGGAGATTTTTTTTTATGAAAATGTGTAGTTGAATTGCTTTCCATAGTTTTGTGATTTGAGTAAATTTAAATAGTGAAAATAGAAATAAAAAAACCGTTTGAATCGCTATAATATCCAAATTATAAAATTTCACCGGTAGATTTTCGATTTCAAAATTTCTCATATATTGCGGGCTAGGGGGAGACACCAAGAATAAATTCCGAATCCACTATATAAATTACTAATCCAGCTATTCCACTAATCCAAAAACACAAATGTGAAATCGAAACTATTTTTCCTATTCCATGCACTGTTTTCGTCAAAAATGTTAATTCTGCTATTCCGCACTATTCCACTAATCCATCAATAAACGTCAAAAGAAATGTCAAATGGATTTGAATTGAAACAATTTTTGCTATTCCATGCACTGTTTCGCTATTCCACGCGAATCCATTCACAGACGTTGCTAGTTCATTGCAATTTCTCGAATCTTTATACTAAAAGTCTAATCCTATTCCACGTGTCTGCCCCCTAGATTACGGGACTATGGAAATGATTCATTTTATGAAAACTTTAAACAGATTCATTTTTAAAAATAAATTGTGGTACAATTAAGTACATTTTTGGTACAATTGTATAAACATAGTCCCAAGTTTCGACTTTCACATTGACTATACATCCCATTTTTACTGTGTAAATAATTTTGTTATATTCATTCTTATATTTTAAAATATATCCATTTTTAAAACTATGCAATTTATTTTCATTTTGAATTTTCGAGAAAAAAAAATTGAAATCGATTTTGCATGAAAAATCAAAATGAATAAATATTGCATAATTTTATGATTGGATATATTTTAAGATATGACAATGAATTCAACAAAACCCTTTACACAGCAAAAATGAATCCGTTTAAGATTTTCATAAAATAAATTGGATATATATAACACGATAACGATATATATATGAGAAATTTTGAAATTTTTTTGCTTTTTTTATCAAAAATATTACAACGATTAAAACGGTTTTAATATGTTTATTTTCGCTATTTAAATTCACTCAAATCATAAAGCTACGGAAAGCAACTCGAATTCACATTTTCATAAAAAATTCTCGTTCGTGAGGCATTGTGTTGAAGAAATTTTTTTCGATTAAAATTTAAAATTGAAAAGTTATTGGCACTATTTATAAACACAAAAAAACTATTAAAATATTTAAATTACAGAAAATAAAAGTTTTAATCTGTAAGTTTCTAACAATCAAATAGAATACATTTGAATAAATTCAGCAGTTATTAATTCCTTCAATTGAATTCTTTAGAATAAAACCATATTAAATAGTTGCATATCAAAGCGAAGGACGATGTTTTTAAATACAGATTAATTGTTGTAATTCATACAAAATAAAACATCAAATCTATGTAGAAAAATACGTTTTGTTTCGCTCTGATAAGTAACTATTTATATTCTGTTTTTACTCTCGAGAATTCAACTGAACAGTTCGCGTTTGTTCAGGTTCGTTCGAAATAAAAAAAATCTGTTCATGTTCATTCGCGTTTAGTTCAAATTGTTCAAAATATGTAAACATGCCGTTCATATTCGGTTCAAATTCGAATGAACCGAACGAACATGAACGGTTCAATATGCATTTGTTGTATTGCCGGAATAATTAATTTTAATGTGAATTTGTGTAATTTTCATGTACTACACATTCAGTGTTGATTGTCAATTGGAACCGCTCTATTGGGTATTCTTATTTTTCATAATTGTATTCAATTTGATTAAGTATTTATTAATAAAATGTTTATTTTTGTTTAATTAAGGTCCTGATGATGGGCTTGACCCGAAACATGTAGACCAAAACCGAAAAACATTTAAGGAATTTTATTTATCAAACGGAATTTGTTGAGGCAATACAAAACAGTTTGTGCGAACGATTTGTTGCACAAATTCACATGAACGGTTCAGTTCAGTGGGCACCTCTAGTCCAAATAAAGAATCCTTTGACTTTTTGGCCAGCATTGAAGAGAAAGCTTATAAGCTTTCTGACGATTTAATAAAACGAAAACGAGACGAACTCTAATATATATACTGCAGTGAGAGAAAAAAGAATACAATACGTCACTCTCAATGTTATTCGTACTCTCAAAATTATCCATACTTTTCTCATTTTTTTTATATTTTGTATATTATAGTATATCAAATAGAAGTGGGTTTTGATAGAAATCGATGTGCCTGAATCATTGCAGTTGAAACTTCCAACTTGGAAGTAAAAAACAATATAAAAATTTCATAATTCTAATACCAAACAATACAGGGTTAAATTATCATTTATTTTCTTCCATGAATACAGGGTGTGCCAGTGGAACTGTCGTATTTTTTTGTAGCTACAACTACAATGCTTTCCAATCACCCTTTTGTTCACCGTTATGTTTATTCATGTTTTGGCTATGCACTGTGATGATGCACATTATTGCGCAGTTCTTGTTTACTTTGCAACAACAATGGTCGTCAAACGTCAACTCGTTTTGAATTTACATAAAAAAGGTTTGCGACAAGTGGATATTTTTCGGAAGCTTCAGACCAACAATATCAATTTGAAAATCAGAAGCAGTTTTACAAAATATACATGAATGTAGGTCAGGGATTGTGCGACAAAGAGATGTACTTGATTGAGAAAAATAGTAACCATTGGGATTTTTTTTTGATATAATCAAATTCGATTCAGTTTTAAAATGCTTTGTTTGAAGAAGACGGTTATATATGAATGTATTTTTCCACTTATTTCACCAACTAAAAGTACAAAAAAAAAACAAAAAGTTTTTTCTGGGCCAGATTACTTTTTATTTCAAAATACTTTTAAACTAATGCGCCTTCATCATTCATTATACATTGAATCCAATGAAAAAAATTGAATTCATGTACGATGAACCCAAAAATACAATAATTATCGTCTTTTGTAGATTCAATGGCCTCTCCTTGGGGGTAAAAATGACCCCAGAAGTAACCATTATGGCAATGACCAAAATGGAGTCAAAAACCTTCCGATACCAAAAAACAGCACAATATTCGGTCTTTAAGCCATTGTTAAGTGTTTTTTTTTTAAATGTTTTATGCATTTATTTTCATGTATTATTTTTATATTTTTTGCTATGAAACATGCGACGAATTATCAACATCGATAGATAACAATTGTTTTAATCTCAATACCATCTGAAATGCCATCGTCGCATTTGTTTATAATAAAAATCATAAATCATTCTGAAATATGTTTGCGTTCAAATGTTTCGTCATCCAAAATTGTATAATTGAATTCCCGGAATGAGGTTGGATATTGGACATACAAGTTGAAAAGATCTTCGCAAAGTATATGGAAAACTTTTGGCACAACATTCATTCTACAAATCTCGCTAAGTTCATACAAATAATTTATCTGCAAAGTTCAAAGACAATAATAATATTGATCCCAATTAGAAACGATTTGTTAAATAAACAATAAAAATATGATTATTTTTACCAAATTATCAATCATCATAGAACATCTTCGTGAATCAATTTCATCCTTGTTTTCTATCTCTTTCTTAATTCTGAGTTCTTCAAGCATTTTTTGTTTAGTAGGTAATTCAATTTCGCCGCTCCAGTATTTCAAACATAAATTAGCCTTAAAAGTTACCAAATGAATTAAATTATTTTGAATTAAAAGTGAGAGAATCGATATTTGCCAGTGCCCGATCATCATATAAACTTTGTAACCAAAAACACTGATGCGCCTCTAATGCATATTCCGAGTAATAATCGCAATTTGTGACAATATGGCTGCGACGGTTTGACAAAATCATAATATACTGATTAATCAGTTGAAACCGGTAAAAAAGTTTTATTCTTTACATTTTTATAATTATAAAAAAACGTTTTGTTTGTTTTTTTTTTTTAATTTTGTGAAATTTTTTGTCCACAACATTCAAAAATATTAAATTAATAAAAATAAAGTGGTTGTCACAAAGTGACGTTATGTAAACCAATTTATTTTTTATTAATTTAATATTTAAATAAACCTGATTGGCTGTTTTTCAAATCATTGTGAACTTGTTCGCACCAATACATAGAAACACAACAACTCCGTCGCTGTGCGCGCTAAACTTGGTTGCTTTGTGTGTATTTGTGTATTGGTGTGATTTGCAACTAATTCCGATTAGTACTCGGAACACGCATTAGAGGCGCGTCAGTGTTTTTGGTTACGGTCATGATCAGGCGTCGATATTTGTACCTGTAAATCATGCCTTAGATACGTCAAAATGCACACCGATAAGCCGACTATAGCCATTGTTGGATGGTTTACATTGATCACTTCTTTATACAAAGGTTCCATTTGAATTTTTCCATTTAAACGAAGGCCACAATCGACGGATAGAAATGGGAACGAATACTTGTATCCTATTAATAAAACCACAATTACGTAAGAGAGAAAGTCATATTTGACTTAACTTAACGGCTTTTTTATCACCTGTGCAAAATAAAATACATGTAATTTGCTCTTCATTTCCATCAATAAATTGTACAGAATTTGCGGTGAATCGTTTGACATCGTCAGCCTTCTTAACATTCGAAGGAAATGTAAAGTTATAATATTTACTATGATTGCTCCAAATTACTCGTTTAGCTTTGGTCGCAATTTGAAGCGTAATATCTCTTCCAGAGGTTCCACCCCCAATCACAAAAACCGTTTCATGTTGATATCGATCAGGTTTTCTATAATCATGACTATGCATTTTATCGCCAAAAAACTCATCTAAACCGTCGAATTCTGGAATAACCGGTTCGCTATAGTGGCCACTGCATAGGAAAATCGCATCAAATTGTTTTCGTATCAAAATGTCATTTCTTAGGTCATTGCTTAAAACCTGTGCGACATCAAAGAAAACAAATGAAATTCCGATCATTTAAACATATCCATTGTAGAAAAGAGTACCACTTTACCTCCCAACGATCACCTCGCAAAGGACGAACATTGACAACTTGATTTCGAAATTTAATCACACTTTTCAGACCGAACACTTCAACGTAACCATGAAGAAACGCTAGCACTTCTTCGTGAGAAACAAAAGATCGACCCTTCCGTGGAAATGGATGGCCCAAAAAACTCATTAAATCGATTGGTGCATTTGTTCTGAAAAATATACATATATACCCATATTTTGATGTTTATCGAAATTTCATTGGAAATAATAATCTTACAGGAGTCCCTGATACATGCTGGTATGAATTGGTATGCCAAATTCATCATTCCCACTTTTATCTGTGTAGAACCATGTACCACCGACCTCCGAAGTCTGCTCATAAACAGTTACATCGTGTCCATAATCCAATGAATGCTTTGCACAACACAAACCACATGGGCCCGCTCCGACTACAGCAATTTTCAATTGTTTCTTTTCCATTTTACATCAAAGCTAGACCGTTCGCTGAAATACTAAAAAAACGACTGAAGACTATATAAAATGCTTCAAATTCAAATTCATTTATTGAAAAGTTGCTGTTGTTTTTGTCACATTCAGAGTTTAATTTTTATCAATGTTGTTATCAGTTAAGATCAACCTCCATCTTGCTTAGATGTATATGATTCACATGAAATTTACCTCAATTTATCTCAAATTCAGCACAAATTCTAATTAATCGTAATAAAATTACAATAATAGACGAATTTAGCAATTCTTTTTTTTAGAAATTTCAATTTTTTGTATTACAATGATTTTTACAAATCTCTCACATTGAAGATTTTTAAAAAATTAGCTTTATTTATTTGTTTGATTTTTCAATTTCAATAAAAGAATACCCGAACGGAATCGCACCATCAAATCGTATGATACCATCAACGAACAAATAAAGTGTGATGTACTCACGCGTCTACATCTATCGCACGCTACCTTATATGTGTACGAAATGTGCACGTAATTGAGTCTCATACATTGTTGTGCGCTGTACTTGTGCACAATTCGTACGCATATAAGGTAGAGTGCGATAGATGCGGACGCGTGCGTACATGACACTTTATTTGTTCGTTGATGGTAACATACGATTTCATAGTACGATTCCGTTTGGGTGCTGACCTTAATTTTTCCTTGATATTCTCTGTCACCATGTACGATCCCTGTGCCAACATCATGCGCTTGAGATTTCGTTTTTTTTAAATGTAGTTTTGGCTTAATCAGATCTAGCAAACATGAGTGAAAAAATGAATTATTCAATGTCAAATATGTGATGTTGTTTTATCATCGATGATGATGTTGTTTTAATTTTTTTTTTCATTACATGCATGATTTAAAAATACATTCCATCGCAGTTTACATAATACATCATTCACAAACTTTTTATATTCTTCATTCGCTCGATAGAACTAAAAATGAACTTACATCCGTAAGTCTAACTTTTCCGCACTGTTTCCAAATTTCTCTCTTTACCGAACGAATATTTATTTCCCGAAAGATATTGAACGTGTACTTGTAGCGCAGTATTATATTATTAAATAATTCAACATATGAAATTATGTGGTGTGTGTGTAATACACTGTGTATATGGAAAGGTAAAATCACCAAAAATGTGAATTTTTGTAATAATGCAATGACTCATGATATCGCAATTACGTGAAATTTAGACAAGGTCATTTTTTTCACAAAAAAAAACATTCTGAAAGTTTGAAGAAATTTCAATTAAAAATAAGGGTACCTCCCATATAAAATTTTCGATTTTGGCTCAAAAACGAAAAATTTGTATGGAAAGTATCCTCAATTTCTATTAAAATTTCTTCAAACTTTCAGGGTGTTATTTTTGTGAAAAAAAATGGCCTTGTCTACACCGATGAACGAATATCGCTCAAAAACAATACCAGCCTATTCCTCGCAACCCCCAACCACACTGTAAAATCAGATTTGAATTTGCTTTTCTCTAAGAAGAGTTATCGTGCTAACAAATTACCGAAGTGTACAGTGTACCACATCCCCACATTAACATGGCCAAAAAACCGTTGCTCTGTGCTTCTCTACACGCAAAACGCGTAGAAAAACGATTTTTAGCAATTTCAAAATTTTGGGGTGATTGCGATACTTTACTGCACACAGTAAATGCTGATTTAAATAAAGTTGTATGTATGATCGACGATCGTACGCACTTATCATTCTTCTATTTTTTTTACATATAATTCGTTTGCGCTCTTCAATAAACCATATACACATTCGATGATCTTGCTCCATAGCAACATATACACACAAGCACGCTCTCATTCCACTTTATTCGGGTACATATGGCAATAGGTCAATTGGTAAATAGAATGATATAGACCATCTATTAGTGAGTTGGAATACATTATCATTTATTACATAATTCTCAAATCAAATGACTTCTATCACTTGAAAACCCCTGGTTAGTGTTGAATGCTCTTTCAATGTGTGAAAATGTTTGCTCTGAGATTTTCTTTAGTTATCGCTGTTTTGATGTTTGCTGTGAATAACATAGCAGCTGATAAATACAAAACAGTTGAAACATTCGATGGTGAAGTGCGAGGCATTCGAAAAACGACATTTTTAAATGGAATTCCATTTTATTCATTCAAGGGCATACCATATGCAAAACCGCCCATAGGTGATTTGAGGTTCAAGGTAACCATTTAGATAACATTTAATATTCTTTAGAGAAAACCCAATAATATTACCTTTTTGACTTTACAAAATGTACAAAAAATAGAACAAAATGTACCTATTTTAAGTGAGAGTTGAATGCATTTCGAACTGTGTTCAGTTCATCATCAGCAACACGACTAATAGTATCCAAAATTAATATTGATGTAATTTAAAGGCTCCCGAACCAATTGAATCATGGAAACCAGCTGTATTGGATGCATTTGAACATGGAAACGCTTGTTTTCAGCCAAGAAAATCATTAGCAAATCATCTGCCGCAAAGTGAAGACTGTTTGAGCCTAAACATATACGTAGGTTGCTCCATAATTTTTTTTAAAATGGTACTTATAGTGTTGCCCGATGTAAACCATTGTCATATTCGTAAAGTTTGATGTTTTGGTATGTATTCGTGCCCTGAACCTTTTGTCGTACGAACGCTATTTGTATTGTTTACAGTGACTGGTAAACTGCGACTCAACAAAAAAATGAATTTTACACGTGAAGATTTTCGTAAAATGATTTACTACGATTTTCGAAGTAAATTATCTCAACAACAGTGTTTCGATCGACTTCATTTGGCCTTTGGCAATGAAGCACCAACCCTTCAGACAATTTATAACTGGTACCGAGAATTCCGTTGCGGTCGTAGTTCGCTCAAAGACGAGTTTCATACAGGTCGTCCAAAATCGGCTGTTGTGCCACAAAACATCGATGCTGTCAGAAAACTGATTATGGAAGATCGTCATGTGACCTACCGTGAGATTGAGGCATCTTTGGGCATTTCATCCCACAGCATACATACAATTTTGCATGAACATTTAGCCGTAAAAAAGATTTGCTCTCGTTGGATCCCACATAAATTGACCGATGAACAAAAAATGGCTCGTGTGAGTTGGTGTAAAGAAATGCTCAAGAAATTCAATCGTGGTGCTTCAAAAGACGTTAATAAAATCGTCACTGGTGACGAATCGTGGATATATGCCTATGACTGTATGGGTCTTCCAAAATGAAGATAACCCAACGAAAGTTGTTCGAGCAAGAAGCACTTCGAAGCGAATGGTCGCCTGTTTTTTCGGGAGAAGTGGTCATGTGGCAACCGTTCCACTAGAGGATCGTAAGACCGTCAATTCTGATTGGTACACCACCATTTGTTTGCCCGAAGTGTTTGGTGAAATAAGAAAAAACAACCACCGTCGCAAAATAATTCTTCATCACGATAATGCGAGCTCTCACACATCTTTTCAAACTACTCGATTTTTGACCGGTCAAAACATCGAACTGATGGGTCATCCACCGTACAGTCCTGACCTGGCACCCAATGACTTTTTTTTGTTCCCAAGCGTGAAGAAAAAACTACGTGGTCAACGATTTTCGACACCAGAAGAAGCAGTTGAAGCGTTCAAAACACACGTTTTGGAGATATCAGTTTCGGAGTGGCACGAATGCTATGACAAATGGTTTCATCGAATGCAAAAGTGTATCGATCATCTCGGGGAATATTTTGAAAAACAATAAAACCATTTTCGACAAAAAACAACTGTGTTATATATGTTTTTAAAAAAAATTATGGAGCAACCCTCGTATGTTCCAGGTAGAATGGAGTTAGAAAATATTTTATCTAAATGTCCTCATTGATATACGTTCTCAAAAGCATTACTAACGCACAACTTTGAGTTTCGAATTATGTGTTTCTCATCTTTTATTTTAAAAACCAAAACTAGCCAATGTTAAAGCAAATGAAAAACTAGCTGTGCTGTTTTTTATTCACGGTGGTGCATATACAAAAGGTTCGTAATATGAAAATTATTTCAAGAAACCAATATGTATATTTATGCTCAAAAAATTGCAATTATGATTCGCAATATTTTCGTTTTCAATCAAGGTGCAAGCAATGATGACTTCTATGGGCCGGATTTCATCGTCGAAAAACAAACCATTTTGGTGACAATAAACTACAGATTAGGGTTATTTGGCTTTTTATCACTTGACATGTCAGAATACTCTGGTAATATGGGTTTAAAAGATCAACAATTGGCATTGAAATGGATCAATTTGAATATTGATCGTTTTGGTGGTGACAACAAACGAATCACTATCTGTGGTCAAAGTGCTGGAAAGTTGAAATACAGTCAATAACTATCATCCAAATATTCAAATTAGGCAATAATATAAATTTTCTTTTCCAGGTGGTGTATCCGTTCATTTCCACATTTTGTCAACTGAATCAAAAAAACTTTTTCGTAACGCAATTCTAATGAGCGGTGTAATTGGTGCCTATTGGGCAATGTCTGAAAATAATCATCATTTGGAAATCGTTCGCAAGATAGCAATTGATTTGAATGAACCAAAAGAGACTTATGAGGAGCTGTTGACATTTTTGAAATCAGCTCCAGCTGATAAACTTAAAGAGTATAGCACAATTAAGGCACCGAATGGAATAGCTATTTTTTCATTTGCTCCGGTTGTCGAGAGTGAGCTTGTGAAGTTATTTATTCAAATGCATATCATTAAAGAGTTGAACTCTTTGTTTAAAATAGGAAAAGATGCAAAACAACCTTTCTTAATTGAATCACCAGAAAAAGTCTATAAAACGCACAGCTTTGACATCGATGTATTTTTCACTATGACATCTGCGGTATGTGTTCATTTCCAATTAATATTGAAATTAACAATTACATGAATTTTATAACATGAACAGACATTAGGTTTGAGCTATGGATATAGCGGCTGCTATTTCATAGCCGCTATTCATAGGCGCTATTTATCTCGTTTTAAGGCATTTATGCATATTTTGCGTTATTTTCTACATCTCTCTCGTACTCACATTCAAATGTACAAAAGAATAGTCTATGAAAAGGCTATGATATTCCTACTCGGTGTTACACGCAGCACACGAATCAAATAGCGCCTATGAATAGCACCTATAAAATAGCAGCCGCCTAGGGGGATTCCGCGCTCTTAAATATGAATAAATATGAACAAATTCGGGGGATTTCAACAAATTCAAGAGATGTTAACACAACTTTACGTTTTTTGGGAGATATTTTGAGATTTTCTGAACTGCAATACCGACAATGTTGAACTTGACAAGAACAGGGAATGAAGAAGTGGTGAATTATTATGACAGCTTCTATATATTAAAAAATATATTGATTTGTTCTGATTAACTATTTTTTCAATCTCTTTTATACTTTGTTCATTTAAATTACTTAATGACGCTCTATCGATTGCACAGACAGCTAAAATATCTTTAATAATCTTTGGAATTTTATATTCGTAGAAGTTTTGATACTCACGCCAGAACCGTTCCATTGCAAATGGCACATTTCAATTTTGCTTTGTAATGCAAAAACTTACACACATGTAACAAACAACTACCATGACAGCTTAGAAGCTGTCACAATAATTCACCTATTATAAATAGGTCTGCAGCGCCAAAAATTCACCACCATTCATTATTATCTCATATTCGCCCATATTCTAAAAATGTCAAAATATTCGACAAAATTTGAAGTATCCTACATGGTGGATATCGGTGAATACTTACGGATATTGTTAGATACATTGGGATATTTGAATTTTTATGAGATTTTAAGAATGAAGTTAAATTTTAGTACATAAATACGCGCGGAATCCCCCTAGGCAGCCGCTATATGCATAGCTCGAGCCTAATGTCTGAACATGAAACAAACTGAATTGTTTTTTGTCCCACGTTCGTTTAGGAATTTTTGATGTTGCTTTCACTTGTGCCACCTTTGAAGGACATAAGCAATGATTTCAATTTATTATTACCATTTAAAGGACTCCAACTTCCAGTTGGATCCGACGTAAGTTGAGATCGACGAAATTTGTTTGATGTAATAAGGAAATAAGGAATCTGATTGTCAAGTTTGTTTTGAAGTTTTCAAGAGCCTTTTTACATTTTTTTTTCATATTAGCTATAATTGTTGACTCAATTTTGATTTTTTTTTATATCGTTTACAGAATTATCGTAATCTGACAAGTGAAATATTTAAATTTTACTTTGGTGATAATGCAATCGATAAAAGATCATTAAAACAATACGTTGCTATGTTGTCTGATTTGAATGTTGGATATGAAGTTGATAAAACAGTTAAAATACATGCAACTAGATCAGATGGCAAAACATTCTATGCTCGGTGTGTATTTCTTTATTTTTCTTGATTTTTCATTCAAAATTACTTATATTACTGGCAGTAACTTATCAATCATTTCAATTTATATTCTATACAGGTTTTCAGTTGATTCAAAATTGAATGTGCTCAAACGTCGTGATCCAAGTATCGAAGACTTGCCTGGTGCTTCTCATTCCGATGATTTATTTTATTTGTTCAAGTTAATTGAAACTAACTATACACAAACTTGTTTTTTTGCTAAAGTTTTGGTTTTTTATTTACAGACATAATATGTTTCAATCATTTTACGATGAAGTTGTAGAGAATAGAAGTGGTGAGCACTCAAAAATATGCCTTCAAGTCATTGATAATATGACCAAAATATTTACAAACTTTGCTAAATACAGGTGATCTTTAACTGAAGGTGAATGACAAGAATTATATTTACAACTAACATATCTTTTTATATTAGTGAAATATCGTACCAGGACGACCCAATTAATGGATTTCAACCGGTTAAAGATAGTTTTATACACTTTCTTGACATCAGAAATGACGGTTTGAAAACTGGCCGTAGTCCTAATAAAGAATCCTTTGACTTTTTGGCCAGCATTGAAGAGAAAGCTTATAAGCTTTCTGACGATTTAATAAAACGAAAACGAGACGAACTCTAATGTATATCATGCAGTGAGAGAAAAAAAGAATACAATACGACACTCTCAATGTTATTCGTACTCTCAAAATTATCCATACTCCTCTCAATTTTTTTATATTTTATATCAAATAGAAGTGGGTTTTGATAGAAATCGATGTGCCTGAATCATTGCAGTTGAAACTTCCAACCTGGTAGTAAAAACAGTATAAAAAATTAAAAATTTCATAATTCTAAGACCACACAATACAGGGTTAAATTATCATTTATTTTCTTCTATGAATAAACTTCGGAATATATGAAAATTACCTTTTTTGTGCTTCTATGATTTGTGTACAAAATATGTCAATTTCAAATCTTTTATAATTTGGAAATTGCCATTTGTACTCTATTGCATCGCATTACATAAATGTAAAATAAAAACACATCGAATTTGTTTAATATGGCTTTTATTTTATTTTGTTCATCTAAATCTTAATTACAGGTTGCTATTTTTTTCTTTTTCTTTTCACTATAAAAAAATGGATTAGTAAAATAGCAGTTGATTTGTTCGATCTCGATACAGCTGATCTTTCAAAAATATGATCCATAAAAAAAAATTAAAATTACAATTAATGGTATATTGAAATATTGAACGAGTAAAAATATTGTCAAAATTGCTACATCGTCTAATGTGAAATAAAACCAAAAAAAAAACGCCAAAACAAATGTTATCTTTAAAAACAAATGCATATTTATAATGAATTGAGTGAGAATTTTGGTGATTTCACACTTAATAAAATGCAATAATCATTTGTAATTTCTGAACGCAATTATGATTGTTGTAAAACTGTTATACGATAAAATTGTTGATTACAAACTAAATTAGTCTTTGGCAAAATGAAGATTGAGATATACTTGCTTAATGATTAATGTCATTTTTCATAAATCAAACTTGTTATAATTATCGATAGAGCTATATCTTTTTTGTTGTTGTTGGTTTTATTTTTTTGATATTTTCATTCAATTAATTCTAATAAAAATGCCTTACTAACTCGGTGACTGTGTTGTTAAAATCTACGGTACTCTTGTCTCTTCTTCAAAAATATATCATTCTTTCATAGCGTTGTTAATTAGTTGTGTGAGGATTTAACCGAGTGCCACGGTGTATGAAAATACTTATAAATTAATTAGAGCATTCATTTCCAAAAAGATATTTTTTTTTAAATAAAATCCGCAATGAGATTTCAATCATTTCAATCAAAATGTGAGTTGATTTTTTTCATGCTCTAGCAATACTTTTGTTCGGTCAAGTTAAAATGTGGATTGGTGCTAACGATTTTATCCGAGGGAAAAAGTGTCTTGAAAGTATATATATTTAAAATTGTGTGCTCTTGACAGTATGAAAAATATATATATTTCTATTTGTGCTTAGTTTGCGAAACGCGTGCAAAACGGATTTGTGCAAAAGAATCGTCTTATGTGATTTTAAAATATGTTTTTTGTTTGCTTCCGTATTCAATTTAACGACCATTTCCATAAAAACGCGGTGTAACCATCATCCAATCCGTTCAGTCATCTATATCTCTTGATATACTTGACCCGCTGCCTGTATTTCAAATTTTTATCACAATCAATTTATATTCGTCACTAGAAGTTATTGTTTCTTTCTTTTTTCATCAAATTATAATATTCCATTATCATTAATTATGTGTGCGATGTGTGGTCTCTCTGATCAATTTGTTTCATCTAAATTACGATCCCAATTGAATTCAGTGACACCATTTTTACCGGCTAACAAACCCAAGTGATTAAACCGTTCATCGAAATTTACATCTTTGGCTTTCAGCTTTTCAAATCGTTGGAATAACAATTTTTTAGCAAATTCATACAATTCAATGTCTAGTGCATTCAACTCTTTCACTCTGGCTTCCTGTTTCGGCGTCAAATGGTTTAAAGTTGAACTTGATACAGTGGTGTTGTGCTGTTCGAATGGTATGGCAAAGCGTAAATTAAACGTTTCCTCAAAAACGTATTGAGATATCTGAAAGAGAAGAGAAACGCACATAATTGAATAACAATTGGGTATGACAAAAAACGACAACAATGCACATAATACGTATACACATATAGATATTCGAAACGCAGTGCGCTCTGTTCGTATATGCTACGTGATTGGAATTAATGATGATTAGTGTTAAATTGAATTAATCTGTTCGAAGAAAAAATGAACATTTTTTTTTTGGTTTTTACCTTTTGATATTCTGTCAAACCAAAGTAAGACATGGCAGCTAAATTTTTTTTGGCACTGGCTAGCATGATTCGGTCCCGTTCGTGAGCCGACATCGAAGTTTTATTATAACAACCAACTAACGCTAAATCCGATAACATTCGTGTCTGACGATTTGTGGCTAGATTACTATCGCAATCCATGAACTCTTCCAAATTCACACCGACCCAACTCTCTGTTGTATAACATGGTGGTAGTTCGCTAACCGTTGCTTGGCGCCCCAAACACCAGTGTCTGGCTGTTTTCCATGTGGCACCTCTTTGTACATGTCGAAATTCCGATAAATACCGAACGACTGGTTCTCTTAATATTGTAATATAGAAATATCGTCGTTTTGCAATTTCACCTTCATTTTTATTTAATTCTCGATCAACGCAACTGGTCAATTCGGTCCAATCGGCATGAAGGCCACACTTCCAACCCGTTGAATATCGTGAAAATAGCCAATTTTCATTGCGATGCGTTCGAAAGCAATAACAACGTTTACGTTTTCGTTGACATTCACATGGACGTTTTAAATCTAAATCTTGTACCAAATGCTTTCCAAACGATGTTCCGCCCGTTTTTTGAATATGCAAAAATACCATAACATCATGTGCATCCATATCAAATTGAAAATCATCTTTTAATACATCGTCATAGCTTAAACCAGGTATGGCACCCATTTGTTCACGTAATTTACCAAGTGTATTTTGTAATGCACTTGTAAAACCAACATCCGATGTTATTGTACCGCGTTTTGTCAATGCGCACACTTGATCCGGACAAAAGTAGCCAAAACCAATTATACCAGCCACGGCCAGTGTTAAACAAACAAAAACAATTGATCGAAGCCTGCGACGAGGCTGCATTTTCTTAATTTCATAAGCCCCACTGGGCAACAAAAGAGCAAAATCACTACCAACTTGAACTTCAACACTTTTCCGCATATCAAACCGAAAAGAATCACCCCGTCGACTCTCTTTCATTACGATACATTTAACAATATGATTTTTTGTATGTGTGTGCGTGTGTGAGTGCTTCGGCTCGATTATTTCCAATTCCAAAACGTAACCAACAAAATTGTTAAATAAATGTTCATTGGGCGAACACCAAATTCACAAATCGAAAATACGCAGACATTTCACATCTGAACTGAACTGAATGTACTGAATGAATGTTCCATCACAAGCATACACTGATACGTGACCAATGGAAGTCTTTGTATTTTGTACGTTCGACCATTTTTTTCATTTACATTTTTTGATTATTCTATTGAATTACACCGATTTGATAATGTTCCCGATTATTTGCACATTAATGCTTAACGCAAAAATTGTCTACACCATAAAATGTTGATAAAGAAATTACTCAATGCCGTCGTCTAGTGTAAACAAATAAGACTATTGCGAGACGCACATATATATTCATTGCGTTGAATGTGTGCCACTTTGACATTTTCATCGAATTGTCAAAGTCAATGTTACCACTGGTGGGTTGTCATATGTATGTTATTTTCGATGATTGCAACACTTTATTTTTGTAAGAAATTCACACAAATAAATTTTTACACACATTTTTCCATTACCATTCGATTTTTTGTTACAAACATTTTTATTCATAAGCAATTTGGAAAAATATAGACATTTTGAATATTGAAACTACAAAAAAATAAATAAAATAAATATGAACGCAGACTGCTAACCGGCACCAATGAGATAATTTTTTATTTATTTTCAATTTACTACTGGGGTTTTATTCGTTACTGGAACAACTGCATACCAAGTCCTCCGATTGTGGTAACATTGGTTTCAAAATGACTAAGCTCCTTGCATAAATTATGGAATGCCTCTGAATTAGCGTATGATGATGGCAGTAGAATAATAGCAAATCTGAAAAACATTTTAATTATTATTCGATATGATCGAAAATTATGGATGATAGTGACAAATTGTCAAGTCGAGCCAACTGGTGAGACAAGTAGCACTGAATTAGATTTGGCTACTGATGGCTGTGGATGCATGATAAAATGAATTCTTAGTATTCGTGCATTCGATAAATATGCATTAGCCGCCTCAGCTAACAATATATCGCATCTCAATAGGCCCGAATCTTTGGTATATTTGGAATGAAAGTTGTTTGCTTTACCCTCCTGCACCTGCCCCAGTCAATTTGACACTGAATCCCAAGCGCTCGCTAATTGCAAAAATCTCTTCTAAAACTGGATGCGAGACGCCAAGTGCACGTAATAAATTATTGTTGATTGAAAATAGCCGCTTTAGCTTTAAGTAATTTTCCTCTTCTGGACGATCTTCAACATTCTCTAGAATCTAAAATTGATTTACAATTTAATAGAATTTTCAACGATTTTTTAGCATAAATAGGTTTACTTGAATAAAAATTTGTTTTAGTTTGTTTGATTACGACGATTAAAATATATTTGTAGCTAATGATGTTTGATCAGTCGCCAATTGAAAATTCCAACATCTACATACTATAAAACGTTATGGTATCGCTGGCTCTTACCTGAACAACATCATCAACCAATGCAGCCATTGCGTCCATAATAGTATCGATCAATTTGGTGTGAATGCTTTTCAATTCCTGTACCCTACGTACAATTTCCGATGTATTACGACTGACGCCAGTGTTAACAAGCATAATATTAATGGGTGATTTGAGTGCAACATTCATAAAACGTTTTGGATTTTTCGTAAATTCAACCACATTGCCAAATGTACAAACTGTATTGTCCAAGCCCGATGGTGTACCATGCATAATTCGTTCTGATAAAAATGCCCACGATGACACTGAATTATTGAAAAGTATTCGCTCTTCGTCCGACGCTGTCTCGATGAATGTCTTCACAAAATTCGGTTGAGAATGTGTCAATGTATAAGTGTAAAATATTGCTGCCACACAAACACCTTGAAATAAAAAGAGCACATAATGTACGCAATTGATGGGGAAATTGTTAATTTTGAACACTTACCAAATGCTGCTGAGCTACCCAATCCAGCCCCAATTGGGATTTGGGACTTAAATTCGATTTGAATTCCTTTGTTTAAAGCTGGTTCGATGCCATTTAATGCAGCATAATTGGTTTCGAGTGCAGCTAGTAAGTACACGATTCCCGTCATTATTTTATGCATCACACTCTTTTGTTCATCGCTTATGCCATCCAATTGAGTATTTTTCAGCACAAACTCTTGTACCAATGCCAAAAATGCATCGTGACCATTTTCAAGATCATTCAATAGGTCAACGACATTAAATTTGGTTTGAATTTTTTTTAGCAATTCATTTATAGTGGCCAATTGGTAGCTGGGCGATATGTCGGGAAACAAATCAAAAACAGCTTTCACGGTATCGTTATCAGTCTCCTAATTTAAAAAAATCAAAACCATTTATCTATCTTGTAATATTGTTCCGATTACATCGTGCCAATTATTTTTTTTTTTTTTTTTTGAAATTGAAGAGACTTCACGATGGATATGTTTTTTTTTTTCAAGTAGAGTACTTGGAACACATTAAGTTGATCTTGACCTTTTGCACCTTTTTGACATACATTTCTGAGATTTTTTCAAAATTTCGGCTTTGAATGCTCAATGTGTGATTCTATAGGAAAATATTTATAGTCATTTTTATCAACAAAAAAAAAAATGGCGAAATAAATTACAAAATTGTGCAAAACGAAATTAAATCAAGAATTCCACTTGATAAAAAACCTCTGTCCGTCATGAATAATCTATTGAACTGAATTACATACATTAAAAGTCACATTTGTTCTCAGGCCAATAACTCCGGCTAGTGCTGGTTTATCGTACACCACAGAATGTTCACCACTTAAAATAATCTTTCCCGGCGATGATACAGTAAATGAAATAGTCATGATTTGTGTTGTTCTCTCTTTAAGCACTGTTTTTATATTACTGAAGTTAAGTAAATGATTGCTTTGGTTTTAAATGTCTAAAATATCAACAAAAAGATTAAATTATATGTAAAAAATGTTTCTGTTTGTATTAAAAAAGTGATTTTTATTTTATTCCATTACGTGATTATTATTGTTCGATCTTTTTGTAAATTTTCAAGTTGAAATACGTTGAATTTTAGTTGTTTTTCTCTTGTTCTTTGGCCCACTGTTCTGGTGTAAATGTTTTTTGGGAGAAAGCGTGAATGGTTTTCAATTCTTCAGCAAGTGCTGAATTAACAAGTCGATGACGTTGTAATATGGACTTTCCCTCGAACTCGGCAGACACAATAATCACATTGAATTTACCACCGCAACCGTCTGATTCGTCGTCAACTTTCTGTATTCGAAATAAACGAAGATAAGAAATAAAAACAAAACAAATTTATTAGAACCACTAAATAAACATTCTTAAATCAAGAAATTCCATCAAAAAATATAATTTAGAAGAAGACGAAGAAAAAAAAATCAGAAATTTTTAATTTTTATTTTACATTTTTGTTTTTATTTGGTTCGATGCTCGAATGTCTTTTAATCTATTCATAAGCGTTTCTTTTTATTATTCACTGTATTATGAGTTTTATTACTGTTAGTTTTTTGGATGACACGTTGAATGGTGTCAAATTGATGTGTTGCCCCACCAAAAAAAATTTGTCGAATGTTAAAATAAATGAAAAATAGCACAAAATGTATACAACTATAGGCTGAAATCAACAACGGAAAGAGAAATGGTAATGTGTCTGGTGGCCGAATAAAAAGTTGTCCGACAACTAATAACGGGCAACCAACAAACGAACTTAGGTAAAACAGACCGACAAACAATTTGTTATCACTAATGCTGGTGAACGATAGCACGTCCCATATCGGTGCTGTGATTTTTTCGGTACTGTCATTTGTGGGCCATCGTATTGTTATTCGAATCAACATTAGGTAGATGTAGGTAAGAATGATTGTTGGACAAATTAGTTGATCGAGAGCTAGTAGTGGTAGCATGCTAAATGTGGCGATGTGTAGAAACCATAATGCACACAACGGTTCAGAGCGGATACTTAACATGACGGGTAGTGTGACGAGTAGAATTGACTTTTCATGAACCTACAAACAAAAAAATTTATATATATACAATATCAAAGGTCAGAATGTTTAATCTAATATTCCGATCTTTAAGTGATGTAAATAGAATTATTACTTGAAATGAGAATAAGAAAAACGCCAGTGAGCTGTTTATCAAATTCAATAGGAACATTTCCTTTCGTGCATTTAACAATAAATGTAGGCTACTCGGTAAAATCGCAATCAATGTACTTATTAGACACACCATTGCCATTTGTTCGTTTGTAAAGTGTGTTCTGAAAATGTAAGAGAATGTTTTGAATGATAAGTTTCACGGAAAGTTTGACGCAAATCGGTCGGTCAATATGAAACTCACTTCAGTTTATAGAAAACGTTGACAATGCACCACACATTCGAGACTTTATCTTCAAAGACGCCACGAGCCACAGGGAATAGCCGATGGATGAGTTGTTTAAAATGTTCAAAAGACTGTAACCACGGTGCCCAAATCACAGCAAACGTAACTATGACAATTAATCCCAAGATGGTCACATTTTTAACACCAGCAATCAGTCTTTGGCCCACATTTTTCGATTTAATTGACGAATTTGTAAAACAATGTCCAAGTAAATATAAGAAAAATGGCAACGCATGATATAATTCCATTTGTTTGTAGTTCAAAGCCATTACGAATAGAATGGCGGCAAGTCGTTCGGAATTCCGAAAAATGGCAGCAATAGCAAGAGCCGCTAAACCAAGTGAAATGTTGTTATATTGAAAATGTCCATTGTCGATGATTATTTGGCCCGGATAGAACAGCACCACAATCAAACTCAATATATTTAAAATTGAGTGGTTTTTTGCTCCAATCGATTTAATGGCAAAAATCATCGCTGGTATGTACAACAAAAAATCAGCCGCCAATACTGTATTTCTCATGAAATTTTGATGTTCATCGCTAGTTATTCCGCGTGATGTATACAATTCAATGTATGACTCATTCAATTTCTTAGCAATCCACCCATTAATGAAACTGTGATACGCTGTCAATGGCGGATAATCTAAGCCCCAATACATCAGATCATTGTCGGTCGTATTTGTGTACCAATCGGTGATCGATAAATTTATTGTAATTTCTTGCCAATGACGCTGAGCCTCAAAATCTCCATACATCGGTGGTTTTTTATATCCCGAATATGGTTGTAGTGATACGATGGCGCGCAACGCAAATGCAGCACATGCCAGCATAAATATTTGTTGTTTTGTAGGTTGCCACATATTTTCTTTCTCTTCTTCTTCTTTTTCCAAATACAATATATTCAACATATTAGCACATCAATTGTCAAGAAAGAGATTTTTTTTCAAATTTTACTTTTTTCATTTCACACACAATTCCATTGAACAACAGAACTTATTGTTCATCCAATTGAAAATAAGTTTGTAATTTAAAATAGACACCGGCACCAAATAAATTCTTAATACGTGTTCATATGTCAATGCGATTGCATCGCCACTATAGACTGTCTTTTTTCGATGACATCTTGATAAAAAAAAGTATTTTTTGTATGGAAATGGATTTGTTCCACTTTTGTTTCGTTTTCAACTTACCACGAATACGGCATTCAGTTTTTCGGTTAATTTATTCTTTAAATAATCTTCTGTATATCCGCTCATGGTTAGCAGAATTATCAATCTCGTATTTATTTCAAGTGGAATGAATTATTATCGGGGTGAAATGTAGATGTTAAAAGAAAAAGATGGGATGAGGTTATTTTGGTGTGTATTAATTCGCTAACTCACATGTAATGCGATTTAGTTGATGTAACAAATACATTCGCATCGAAATGGCAATTCTCTCGGAAAGTCAAATACTGTCACACAGAAAACGCATGCACTCACTCGTTAGAATGTGTAAACCGCCAAACAATATACGACACAAATGTTTTCACCACAGGACCGAATAAATATATATATATGATTCAATTCTGATCTGGATAATGAATGGTATTTGCTTGCGTTTCAAATAAAAAGCGAAAGTGGTCTGCATATCATCTGGCAACACCACAACGAAGTGTCAATCGTCAGCTTTCTATTACTGTCAACACGGTTTATTGTTATTTGGAAAATAGTAACCGGGCCCGATCGACTTAGATCTGCACACCATTCAAATCAATATTTTTCGAAAATAGTCGTCGATTTTTGACCAGTTAAAAATGGTTATTAACGCCAGCACGTTGCGCACACAGCTCGCATCGCTGACTAATTTCAGTGGAACACATCGAGAACATGCTGACAAGTAAGTTTTTATCAACTGCATTTCGGTCGCTTTTACAATATGAATTTCATGTTTTTTTTTCACAAATGCCATATTTTTCCGTTTCAGATATCGCGTGTTACTGGAAAGTATTTTGTCAAACAACGAAGCTGAATTAATTGATACGCTCAAATTGTTTATTGAAGCAAGTAAGTATTGCCAATTTTTACAAAACAAAATACTTTCCGCTGATGTTTTTTTTAATGCGGAATATTTCTTTTTTGTGCAGTTGTCAATGAGCATGTCAGTTTGGTGATTTCACGTCAATTGCTCACCGATGTTGGTAACCATTTGGTATCGTTGCCGGATCACGTATCAAAGACAATCTCACATTTTACACTTGATAAGGTGCAACCACGGGTTATTTCATTCGAAGAGCAAGTGGCAAATATTCGTCAGCATTTGTCACAGATTTACGAACGCGAAGAAAATTGGCGAGAAGCGGCAAATGTTTTGGTCGGCATTCCACTCGAAACGGGTCAAAAGTGAGACACTCATTATCATGTTTACTTTCTATTTTTGTATTGAATTAAGAAATTAAACGCAATTGACTAAAATCAAATGGTCATTTTTTCTCTTTCAGACAATACACAGTTGATTACAAGTTGGAGACATACTTGAAAATTGCACGATTGTATTTGGAAGATGATGATCCAATTCAAGCGGAGGCGTACATAAATCGTGCATCATTGTTGCAAGGTGAAACCAAAAAGACGGAGCTTCATATTTTGTATAAGGTGTGTTATGCCCGTGTTTTGGACTATCGTCGTAAATTCATTGAGGCGGCACAACGATACAATGAACTCTCCTATCGCACCATTATCGATGAAGGTGAACGTATGACCGCTTTGAAAAATGCACTGATTTGTACAATTCTGGCATCGGCTGGCCAACAACGTTCCCGTATGCTGGCAACGCTATTCAAAGATGAACGTTGTCAACATTTGCCCGCCTACGGAATTCTCGAGAAAATGTACTTGGATCGTATCATTCGACGATCGGAACTACAGGATTTCGAGGCCCTATTGCAAGTGCATCAAAAAGCAAGCACATTGGATGGCTCATCGATTTTAGATCGTGCTGTTTTCGAACATAATCTATTATCGGCCAGTAAATTGTACAATAATATTACATTTGAAGAATTGGGCGCATTGCTGGAAATCGATCCGAAAAAGGCCGAACGAATTGCATCACAAATGTTGACCGAAGAACGAATGAGCGGATACATTGACCAAATCGATGGAATTGTACACTTTGAAAGTAAGACTCATTACGTTTTTTTCATATTTGTTTTATCTGAAATTTATAAGAAATCACCTTTTTCCACAGCACGTGAAATTCTACCGTTATGGGATAAACAAATTCAGTCGATTTGCTATCAAGTAAATGGTGTAATCGAGAAAATAAGCGCCGCCGAACCAGAATGGATGGCCAAAACACTCGATGAAGAAATGACACACTAAAATCGATCAAGTTGCTTTTTTGTTTGCTTTGAAAAAGTAACACATTTATTTAAGATTAATATCCTCTGGAAATTTCTAACGTTTAATAATTATAATAAAAAAAGAATCGATTACAAGAAATAATTTATGAGCATTTTTTTTCTTCGTTTTTTCACATTGGATGAATTTAATTCAGTATTTTATCACAATCAGCAGGTGCCGGCAATGCTTCAGTCATTGGCTCCACATTCCATATTAACTTTGCGTATTCACGAACGGTTCGATCGATAGAGAATCGGCCGCTTACCGCAATGTTTCGGATGACCATTTCATTCCATTTCTTCTTATCCTGTACCGAGTACACGTGAATGTCAATTAAAAAAAAAGTCACCAAATTGATTCAATAATAATATTTACCTCGAATGTAGTCGAAACCAAATCTTGTGTATGAATGTAGTCTTCGTAGTCGGCCAAAACAAAATATTCATCTTTTGTAAGTAGACGATCAACTAAATCGCTGAATTCATCCAAATTGCGTGGACTAAAGAAACCACTGCGAATTTGATCGAGACACTGTTTTAGATCAGCATTTTGTTTGTACACTTCCATCGGATCGTAACCTTTGGCTTGAAGTTCTTTTTTTTCATCAAAGTTCATGCCAAAAATGAACATATTCACGTGGCCAACTTCGTTGACAATTTCCAAAATAGCACCATCCAAAGTGGCGACTATTATGCTGCCGTTCAGCATAAATTTCATGTGACTTGTTCCCGATGCTTCGGAACCAGGTAGTGTTAAATGTTGTGACACATCAGCGCACGGAATAATCTCTTCAGCCACAGTGACTCCGTAATTTTCCAGAACAATGACCTTTATTTTGCCATCAATGACCTGTTGAAAATCGAATTTTCAATTAAAAATTCACACATTGCGTCCATTTCTATGACACTTACCGGATCGTCGTTGATAATTTGTGCAATCGATGTAATAAGTTTGATAATGGATTTGCCAATTTTGTCGCCTGGTTCGGCTTTGCCACCAATAAATACAGTTCGACATTGTTTTGGCGAATAGTTTTTATTGTACTTGAGTCGATTGTACAACGTAACAATGTGCAAAATGTTCAACCATTGACGTTTGTATTCATGAATTTTGTGTACTTGCACATCAAACAATGAGAATGGATCGATTTCAATGCCATACTTCTTGTGAATGGTTTCCACCAATTTCTGTTTATTATCCTCTTTGGCCTTTGAAATGGCACGCATAAAATTATTGTCACGGCATAACTTTCGCAGTGATTCCAATTTTTCAAGTTGAACTGGCCACTTATCGCCAAGCTTCTCAGAGATGACATTCGATAACGTCGGATTGCACAAAAACAACCATCGCCGCGGTGTTACGCCGTTTGTGATGTTAAGAAATTTTTCCGGTTCGAGCTCGTATAATTTGGAAAATGTGAAATTTTTCAAGTAGTTTGAATGAAATTTCGAAACACCATTCACTGCACACGAGCCCAATACACCAAGCATTGCCATGTCAAAACATTCGTTAGATATACATGACAGACCGTATACTGTATCCAAATTTACACAAAATGTCTCTTTCAAATTTTCCAAGTGGAAAAAGTTGATTTGATATAGAATTTCCTAAAGGATAAATCAATAATTAAGATTTGTACACGGCGAAACAACATTTTTAAAAACCTACCATATGGCGGGGTAAAACTTTTTGAATTAATTCAACGGGCCATTTTTCAAGCGACACCGATAGGATGTTATGATTTGTAAATGCACACGAATTGTTAACAATCTTCCATGCTGCACCCCAGCTATAATGTTCAACATCAATCAATATACGCATTAGCTCCGGAATTATCCAAGCGGAATACGTATTGTTCATTTGGATTATATTCTTTTCGGCAAAATTTGTGAAATCGGTACGACCTGTGTCTGTTTGTGATACCTTTGAACTTTTGTACCGTGTTATTATATCTTGCAACGATGCTGAACATAGAAAATACTCTTGTTTCAGTCGGATTTCTTGATTTTCATATGTATTTGCAGCTGTTGGATACATGACACGCGTTATATTCTCTGCGAGGCATCGATCGAATATCGCTTGAATATAATCGCCATTGTTAACTGGAAAAGAATGAACATTGACACAATTTTAGTTGGATCATGTTTTTCGTCGTACACAAAATGTCATCAAACTTACACAGCTTCAATTTGAATCCCTCTGTGCTTTTGGCACTCCATAATCGCAATGTATTCACCACATTATTTTTGTACCCAGGAATGGGATAATCATGCGGAACTGCATAAACCACTTGTGTATCGACCCACTCACGGCCGATGGCCGAGTTTGCAACCTTACCATAAAAATGAACGGGAAACACGTATTCCGGTCGTGCTCGTTCCCATGGATTGCCCAAACGAAGCCAATCGTCAACGTCTTCGTGTTGTTCGCCATCAATAATTCGCTGTGTAAATGCGCCAGCATTATACCGAATACCATATCCGTACGCCGGAATGCCAAGTGATGCCATTGAGTCCAAGAAACATGCGGACAATCGACCCATGCTACCGTTACTCAGATGCAACTCACCTTCCATCGACTCCAATTCTTCCATATCCAATCCCAATTGATACATAGCCTCATCGCACGCATCTTCAATGCCAATGTTAATCATATTATTTTGTAAAAATCGACCCATATTATATTCCATCGACAAATAGTAAACGCGCTAGATACGAAATGAACAGAAAAGGTGAAAAAAAAATCGTTGTGTAGTTTTTGTTTGTGATGCCGTTAGTTTGCTCACCTTTGGTTCACGTTGATAGCTGATTTGCTGTGTGCGAATCCAACGCGACACAATGTGATCTTTAACACAATTTGCCAATGCCATATAAAAGTCATGAGCGGTCGCTATATTTCGATCTTTAATTAATGTATAATGCAAATGACGATTGAATCCAGCCTTTATTTCGTTGACATCCTCAACTTGAGCAATGCCCCGAACGCTGATTTGTTTCAATTTTTCATTTTGAATAACGTTTTCGTTGTCGTCTGATTTCACCGGAATGTTTCCCATTCTTCTCAGCATTTCAGTCAAACTACCACAAGAAAAACTAAAAAAAAGTTTAAAGTAAGTGCAATGTCCGATCAGACGAAAACTAAGCAGATCAAATTTAAACACAAATCACAAAATTAACGGGATATTTAATAAAAAAGAACGATTATCAAAAAAGGAAAAGAATTGACATAAAAAATGGCGAGAAAGAATTTAGAAAATGAAATGTATGCGACAACGACTAAACACCGACTGACGATGCAACTTTTTTCTCTCTGCACGTCATACACACCACCAAATAGCATCGATTGAGTCGGGTGTTTTGCGAACCGTTATCTGTGTATCACAAAGCAATTTGTGCAAATGCGTTCGGTTCGATGGTGAACTATGTTATACTTTTTGTGAATTCACCTAGTTCAAACACCTTATGACATTACAGTGTTGGTGCGTCAAATTATATTTTTAAACTGAACATCCGAATTTTTGCATTACCATTGATTTGGAATAAATTTTCGGAAATGACCACACAGACACAAAAAAAGAATAAAACTCAGAATGTACTTAATGCATTATTGGCCTTTAGACGCATCATTCAACGAGATCGTGTAGCGTGCTTATCAAAATCATTGTTATTTCGAATATAATAGGTCCCATCATCTATTTTCGACACGTGATTATTGGCTTCTGAAGCGTGCATTTTGTATTCATTTGATGAAAACAATCTAAATATAGATAATGATTGGCATGTGTATTTGTGTATATATGGATTTATTGGCCATTCTTATCAACATATTTATATTTTTACTTTTTCAATAATTTCTGGTATTTTGCAATTCACTGATTAATCTAAAAGCAATTTTTCCCCACATATTTGAATTGATTATCGGTGTGTAGCTTCTGGCATGCATAGTATAGACCAAACGAATCTTTGAATTAATAACGCTCCATTGAACACAACCATACGTATAGCAGCCAAATCAAAATGTTTACAATTTAAATATGATTTTTACTCCAAGCGTTCAATGAATTTTTTTCCCAATCGATACGGTGTCACTATCGGTCTTTTTTATATAAATTTTGGGTGATTAGGTGTTGAAATAAGTGTTTTCTTTATTGGTATTTTTAGAATTTGTGTTTGTTAACATTTATTCTTTGACACATTTAACTAATAAGTTTGGACAACAGATAAAAATAAACACATTGATTTGCGTGTATATTTTGAGTGATTGTGAAATGTTTATCGGCGATATCGATAGCGCTTGAAATGGAACCATAACTGAAATATGTTGTTGTGGAATTGACAGCGAAAACCACGCTTGTAACTGAATTCCCATTCACGATTTACAATTTTAAACGCCAAATCCTCGTACGGTGGACCAGAATGGAAGCGCAATACAGCAAAGTCTTTGTTATCTGGACATGGTGTCTGTAAAAAGCAAATGCATAAAAAATTCGTAATTTTAATAGTTTTTTTTCTTTCTCGACCGAATAATATGTTACTTACCAGGAAATATTGTGGTGTTGAATTTTTGTCAATCAAATCCGGATAGAAAATATTGAATTTGTATCCTTGAACGATTTTCGGTGGTGGATTGTCCATGTCATAATGTGTTTGATTATATTTGTTCCATTCAAATCCGGTGTGTACACGATTAAAGTATCGTGGCTTACGTGGCCGATATTTATCACTCCATAAATAAACTTCCGAATCGAGTTTTGTTTCGACTGAAAATTCGACTTCTTCATTATTTATACCTAATGAGTCTCGACACTGTCGGGCCAATCGAATTTCTTCCTTCGTAGCAAAATCATCTTCATCATCATCGGCACGATTTAGCACCCGATTTCGTACCTTCTCAATATTCGTCTCAAGTTGATCGTCGTCAATGACACGAATATGTTGGTCAATATCTTCTTCGCGCATATATTCGGGTGAGTAATTGCCCTGTGTGTACAATGCAAAACAGTTCTCTAATAAATCCATGGCTTCTTCATCGTCTTCCATATCTTGGCTATTTTCATCATCATCATTTGATTCACGTTTAATGCCCGACGTTGATGGTTCATCATTCTCTTGACTGTTATGCATTTGTTCGTCCGTATCAACTTGTTCACGTTTTAACATTTCCAATTTGTTTCTTAGATTCTCTTGATGTTGATCACGCAATCGTGCCCGTGCCATGTGTGCTTTTAACTGTGACAACAACGATTCCCAATACCCAATGTCAACGCCATCACTTTTACTGCTAATTTTCGCCTCAATTTTCAATTTAAGTTCGTCCAATTGTAGTGCAGTTTTACCTTGAACAATCGATGTCACGTCGCGTGCAACACTTTGATTGATACCCTCACGATTGAGAACAGCCGCATGATAATCGCCAAATTCAGTTTTTCGTAGCTTTTGCAGTTCGTCGCTTGCAATGATGGTCAAATCTTCCCAATAGTCTCGATTCTCATTACTTTTATCCATTTCCATGTAAACACGAATGTCCTCAAGCAAATCCTCCAGGTCTTCAATGCTCAAACCATTCAAATAAGTATACGGTTCGTGCATTTGCATTTCAATTGTTTCCTCCAAATTATGCGTGGACACATATTGTGCAAGTAAATCGATTGGTTTTGCGCGACCGTCTTGAATTCGAATTTTACTACGTAATCGTGCCTGTTCCAAATGAAATTGGTCCTCTTGTTTTTCCCACTCTTCGAATTGGGCCGCTTCACGTGATCGTTGCAATAGTGCCATTTCCTCTTCGCGTTGTTGCTGCTCTAATTCACGTTCTTGTCGTCGTTTTTTCACTTTTTCCAATTCGGCCTTGTTCTCCATTTGCTTTTGACGATTAATTATCTCGATTTCTTCGTCACGTAAATTTGTCAAACCTTTTTGCTCCAATTTTTTCTTCCACACAAATGTCGATGTCAAATTTGCATCGCCAAATGGATTATCATCGTTTGTATAATGTTGATATTCGGTATCCCAACCCATTCGTTCTCGACGTTTTAATTCCTTTGCCTGTTTTTCACGTAAGCGACGTGCCCGTTTCTCTTCGGGCGTTTCCATTTGTTTCATCAATTCTTTTTGCTTTTTTCGTTCCAATGCTTCTTGTATCCGTTTTGTTTCCAATTTTTGCAATAATTTCAACGAACTTGAACTCGATGACGAACTATTACTCTCAGATGATTGTGATCGTCTTGATTTTTTCTTATCGCGTTCATGTGATGATTTTTTATCGCGTTTATGTCGTTTTTTGGAATGATCTTTTGAACGGTTTCGTGAACGCTTTCTATCATTTGTATGACGGTCTCTTGAACGATCTCTTGAGCGATCTTTTGATCGGTCTCTTGAACGATTTCTTGATTTGTCTCGTGAACGATGCTGACTTCTTTCAACTGATTGTGATTTTGATGACTTCTTTGATTCATCCATTCTACGGTCTCTTTCATCCGACGGTGATGCAATTGACGAAGACCTTTGACTTGACTTTTTGTGCGACCTACAATGGAACAAATTTTTTGGAAAATTAACTTTTTCAAAGTTTGCCACGGAAAATCAATTCATTTCACTTACTTTTTACTCTTCTTTCCCATTTTTAGTGTGGATATTCTTAACTTTTATGAATCAAAACAATGTATTCACGTCTTTGCTTTCGCCGAATAGAAAATGTATGGGATAAACGTTTTGATACTGTTGATTGTGCGACGTAAACGTCAAATCTTCTAGCTGTCACTTACATTAAGGTGACTTTTGAGTGGTGTATGTGTGGTGAACGTTCGTTAATTTTTTCAAATTCAAATGAAATAATTGTACAAAATTGACATACATTTTAATTTAATTCCAATGAAAAAGTGTATAAATTAAAAAAATCGAAGTGGATTCAATTGAAATGTTTGTTAAAATCGGTAAAGAAAAATAGATTGTAAATCACATGTGGAAAAAAAACCGTTTCAAATCGGGCAATACACAGAGAGCATGCGGTTCAGTTGAACGTTCGATAGTTACAACACATACATTTGTCACAATGTATTCCAGCCAATTACAGCTGTTTCTGTAAGAGCAGTTGCATTGCACGTATGCGTATGGTGTGTGAAACAAAGACAGCGATAGTCGCGTCTCCTTAACTAGTCTCGGCAATTCAAATCTTCGGTTGAATCGGTTTACTTTCAAACATCAGGCTTTTGTATTAACATCTGCGTGCAGACGATCAAACGTACAAAAAAAGTCAAAATTGATTTTAGTTTAATTCACATTGTAAGCGACCGAATTTTATAAAAAGAACGTATAAAAATTATGTGTATCATTGAAAACATTTGTATCGTAAATTAATATTTTTGTATAAGAAAAAAATTGTTCAAATTTTGTGAGATAAACAAAATAAAAAATCGGTGAATATTTGGCGCATCGCAAAACATACGCAAAATCCGTGCATACCGATACACAGAAGAGAGATAGAGTCACAGTTTTGCCGCATAACGCCAATCGAAGAACACAATGAGCAAAGAAATTTACTACTCAGACAAATACTTCGATGACGAATACGAATACCGGTAAGTGCGAATAGTTTTTATTTTGTTGTGTGTTTTCAAACAAATCAATTTGTTTGCGCATTTTTGTGCACAATTTCTTTTCGGTTTTAAGATTCGGAATTATTTGCAATTGTAATTAAGTGTGTGTGTGACATATGAAAATCAACGCAAAAGAGGTAGAATTCATATATAGAAAAAGGGTCTTGACATAAACAGGTTTCGCACACTTCATATGGGCATTTTTGTATGTCTCACTTTCCACACTTTTTTTGTGTATCGGCAGTTTCTACATCGTTTTTTCGGCTAAATAACATTACAATTGTTTATTGCTCAAGGCCATTTCACGTATTCGTCGATGTTCGCGAACAATTCAAAGTAGACATTTGAATTTTAACGGATTTTTTGCGCGAGATCACTCACTATCTCTGTCAATGTTGCTACGTTATCTAATTTGAATATTTTTACGTTTTTTCCGTGTACTATGAATATTTGTTTGTGTTTTCAATTATAAGCAATGTAATTGTTTGACATAACCCCACTTTTTTTTTAAATTGGCTCCTTTTGTGCAATAATTTAATTCGAATTTTCTAGATTTTTTATTAATGATTTTTTTTTCTGTTTTTGTTTTGCATTTTAGACACGTCGTGCTGCCGAAGGAACTGGTTCGTTTGGTACCAAAATCACATCTGATGACAGAGACAGAATGGCGATCAATTGGTGTACAACAATCGCGCGGTTGGGTCCACTACATGATTCACACACCAGAACCACATATTCTCCTGTTTCGGCGTCCACTGAGCAAAACAGCCTAGAGTTCCAAAATAAAACTCTATTCATCCAGCTCAATCACCATGAATATTATTTTTAATAAACGGATAATATCATAAGAATTAAATCGTCGATTGCATAAAAAATTCCTGTGAATTATACATACATTATAAGTGGAAATTTTTTTTTACTCAATAAATAAAAAAAAATACTATGTTAATAGAAATAGCAACTAAATAATGCATAAAAAAGCGAACAATTTTGGCGTTTTTATTTTTAAAAAAATTAGCAAAGCGAGTGCCATTAACAAATAACAAGATTGGTTTGTTATCATCTATATATTCTTTGCTGTGTACGTGTATGTTTCATTTTATTAATTACAGTTGAATTACGAGAGTCTTCAAGTTATTTGGATTGACTTTGTGTAATTGTTTCTGTACGACTTTAGTCAGCTTGTCTTCACTACGGTCTTAAACTCGTAAGAGCGGCTGATTGTTCAGTGAGACATACTTCATTTCCGAAGGGATGTGTAATTTCTTGTTCGAAATGTCATTTTAGCTCTATCTCTTGTTTTTACTCGCAACCAAAATATACCATGAGCATTATCATTATTATCTTATTGATTAATTTCCATTATTTCCATTCTTTTCTTTGTGATTAACCCTAGGCATTATCAATATTTGCTCATCAGCTTCGAATCGAAATCAGTTCATAGTTACTTTTTAGCAGTTCAGTTTGATTCATTATTTTGATGAGACCTGAGTTTTGGATTTATTTAAATTCTACGAAATATCAAGACATTAGCGATTAAAAATAAATCAATTTTTGTGAAATAATTAAATACAGTGTGACTCACATTCATTCTCGAACATTCATATGTTATATACTTTCGCAAGAGTTTTCAGAATTTCACCGTCTGTGATAGCTCTGCGAATTTCATGAATATTTCTGCATTCGGCAAATTGTTCATTTAACGGTTAACAATTCAAATGTTATCAGTGCCAACGAGTATACGTCAACCGATTTCAATTCTTCCCTTCGATATCCTCTTTTGGACAATATTTTTCAGTTCCAGGTTCCAGCACAATCGAATTGTTTGGTCGACACATTTGATTCGGTGTCATCTTTTCTTATGTCAAACCGAAATCGGCCAATTTAAAATATTTCTTTCCATTGCTCAACATAATATGTTTGCTTTTTATGTCGCGATATTTTTTGAATATATTGCAAGGCCGAAAAGAAAATAAATTGGTTCTTGGTTGAATCGTCGAACTCATCTGCCGAATAATATAAATTATCATAGAGTGAACCATCCGGTAGCACCTTTATGGGACAGATTTGACCTGTTTCCATTGGTTATGCATAGGGCCGATGTCATTTTCCAAAATGTACCAAAAATGAAGCATCCTAGCGAATGAAAATTCATTTTTTTGATGCTCTACACAACACCATCGTTGGGTTTCCTGTTTGTTGAGTTTATTGTTGATGGAGCGCGCGTTATATGTTTTATTCTACATTTATTTGGAACAATGAACAATTATGCATCTCAACCACAAATGGAATTCACATAATCACCAACTGTCTCCAAATGTGTGTGCTTCATTATAGAACGAAGAGTTTTATTTTCTTTTGCACACGGCATCTCTCTTATTTTCTTATTTAGCATCATTCATGGCTTATACCATTTAAAATGAATGGCATTCAAATCATTAAGACAAAAGCCTTAGCGAAGAGAAAAACATACATATAGCGGGAACAATGAATATGTTCCTGTTACATACTCTATGGGTATATATACCCATATATATTAGATGCGTGACGTTGAATACTGCTACCCTTTTTCCACGTCGCATCCATCATGCACAACGAAAATCGGTACGCGACTACTCTTCTTCACAGTAGCATATATTATTGACGACTCTGTAATTAGACGGATTAAGCGTATAACATGTAATTTTTTACACTTCTTGATTCATATCATCACCGATATGATGTATTTCAATTACTTCTTAAGTATGGAACAAAAAATACGATGATTACACTCTGTTTAGTGTATACTGTACTGTAGTATAACAAAAAAATAAATGGATATTTTTGTAAAATTCGTATGATGAATTTTTAAATATTTTTTTTTGAATTTAATTTGATCAACAGCAATTGGATGAACAATATACAATATGTTTTATTTCGTGCTTTAGCGAAATGAAGAAAATTACCGATCTATAATCAAATGACGAATAAGAGATTAATTCCTTGAATCAAACCAATTTTCATAATTCGAAATACGTACGTTTTCTCTAAATTTTCAGACATAAATCACACATATGCACACAAACATTGTTTATTATTTGCTGCCAGATGATAGATAAGTACTTGAAACAGACACATACGCATAATATGCACATGGCACATAAACCTATATTAGACAAACATTTTACAGTTGTTCGAACTATTAGGAAAATAAAATGATTCGATAGAAATGTTCTAGTTAAACATTTTGTCTTTTAACATCGATATTTGATGCGAGTGATACGAGCTGAATATTCGTTAACATCTATTGATTTAATTCAGCCTATTACTTCACGACATGTGCTGTAAACGACATAAAGTTACATGCATTTATTTATCCATTACATATACACACACATTGGAAGTGATAATAAACACACCACCGACATAAGCAATACTAGTTCCAAAGAGGTAAATGGTTGTAACATATTTTATAAAGCCGTAATTATGTGGATTATAATTTTTTTATATTTTAAAACATTAAAATTAGATGTTAATAGCGTCGGTAATGTTGCTTACTGATAAGAGAGATATGTAAATGTTGTTTGCCATTCAGTGTGTGCAGTCAAGCGCCAGAATTTAAATGCGAGCCAAATTGAGTTATCTCATAATCTGTTTTGCAAACATATCCTGTGAACAGGACTTTGAATCGCAATAACTTTTGACGGATTCTTCAAGCAACTTGAAGTCAGAATTAAATTTAAAAAAAAAACATCCAGCTTAAACGGCTTATCAACCATAACCCATATTATTCATGAATAGAACATAATTAATGTAATTAATGGCATTTTATTCCAAATGAACGTTAATGACATGACAATTTTATTCAAATCTTATTTACTTTTTCAATATCGTGATTCATCCTAAATGGATCTTTTCATGCTTGTTCGTGTCCTACAAATATAATTTATGTGAAATTAATGCGTAAAAAAAGTTGCAGTCACTCTACGGCATTCCATTTGATTATAAAGCAATTATAATTTAGTTTTAGCCTTGATTCACTTAAAATCCATCAGGAATTGATGAAGCCGTGGAATGTAATTTGCACCAATCAACAAAAAAGCACTGAAATTAATTAACTTGAATCAAGTCTTGTTTTTGTGAGAGCTTTTTTTGATTCACTTTTTTCGCATCTTAAAATCGAAATTAATCCATGTAATGATCCACCATTGACAGACACCATATATTTTCTTTTGTATCCATCGAAGATGAAGAGAGAAAAAATTAATAGTCCCTATACGTATACATTAAGGATGCTTTTCATTTGGGCCATGATTTTCATGGGCCAGAGCATACACGTGCTAGATAATATCGTACATTTATTACACATTTGATGGCATTATTGTGTTTCCAAACTAACCGCAAGCCAGTTCATATGATGTTGCGTATTAAAAATTGGCACATTTCGAGAGAAGATGTAATTGTGCGAGTGAAGTGAAAAAGAATGAGAAGAAAACAATAACATGCGCAATATTCTCATTCGTTTCCTTTGTCGTCGATGCGTCGTCGTCATATCCTTTTTAAATTACAAGCAAAAGCCACAACTTAACACATTCAATATTAAGACTTGATCCTTTTTCTAGCCCTTTCTTGTTTCTTAATTCGGTCTCTTTTTTTATATCAATGCTTTAACACAATGAGCACAACATATCAGCTTCTTGCTATTACATTTTTGTCATTCATTGAAAAATTATGACAATGGATCTGTGAAGCACACACACACATCTCTGCCACGGCTCTGTGAAAGAATATTGCAATTTTATAAGCGCACAGAATCCACAAAATAAACATAATCTATAGTGTTTTTTTGCCAGAGCATTTATAGTAAGTCACAATATTCAACAGTATCACAACAAATAGTCTCTCTGTCTCTTCACTTCGCATCCCTCGTTGACTATCTTTCGTTTTTATTCTCTCTTGCATTTATGTTTCGACGTTACATATATGTATAAAAACGTTGGTTATGTACGAGAGTAGTGCATTAAATAAAAAAAAGCATCAACAAAAAAAAAATTCGCATACAACTACAAATGGATCATCAAACTCTTTGTTGGTAGCTATGACAACGCGAATTAAAAAGAGCTGAAAACAATTTACTTGAACGCTAACATTCAATTATAAAATCATTTTGATTTGCTTTCAATTTGAAACTACAAAATTTAACAAGCCAAATTGCAGTCGCATTTAAACGTATTTTTTCTTTCTCGAATATTTGTTTATCTTTCATGTGGACAATTTGGTGTTGTGCGTACTAAATAACTTCAACAGCAAAACAGGATATGACAAAGAGGAAATTAACAAACGATTTTTCTGTTAATTTTCATTATACATAACTTATTGCGTATATAGTTGTCAAAGTTTAAAAGTGAGATCAGAGAGCTGCTTTGAGTGATTCCCTCTCTCAATGTCTCTGCGTATCCTTGTTTTGCCATGCATCACAGCGTAAAGAATGTCGGATGTTTGCAAGAAGAAAGCACATTTTTCATCTTAACACTTCATTTCTCATCCATTCGCCATAGCTAAGATAGCTGAATGTGTCGCATCCCGTAAAGTGAATCTATTCAAAGTGAGAGAGAAAAAAATCTACTTCGAATGAAGCCGTTGATGTAGTACCTCGATTAAGTTAAGTTCATATTTGCTGTTGCTCGTCTTTTATTGGAATTTGAACGACATGGAAACGTGAGCATTTTTTTTTCTTCTTCGCTCTTCTATTTTCTCATCCTTTGCCATCTTCATCTCACGCTCATTCTTAACTATTTGTCGATTGCTGTACGTTGTAGGTAGGATAGAACAGAGGCTGTGTAGCATGAAAATTTGTTGCTGTTTAAATGTATTCGGTCTATCGTCGAAACACTTTTGCCTATTATGTTTTTGCTCTTGTCACGGATTTTGTAAGCAAAAAGCACACACACCGCTCGTCTCTGTGGCACTCCTTAACCCAAGTGCTT